CCAGCTATTGTTTAGAGGGAAATTATTACAGAGTACAAAATTGTTATATCGTTCTTATATAACGAAGAGTTAACCAATACATATATAAGTGAATCTAATTTGAAAAAATAGTTGATATTAAGTTCCTGAACAATATGATTAATTCATTATGGATCAGCATCACTAAATTTCCGCCATACTTGAGTAAAGTTTATCAAAATAGTTCAAGGTTGTCGTGTCAATTACCATTTAAGGAGAATTTTAAGCTGATAAATCAAATTTCATCTATTCAAACGACACTTGACATATTGTGCTTGAAACAGGAAACCCTTTCAGGGCTTAAAACAATTAAACAATAATCACAATTATTCGTCGGGTTGTTATTTTACTTCCAGTGTCAAGATGTTTTTCAAGTATTTCTCTTAAAAATAGTAACATGTCGCGGCTGATTTAAATAAAATGGAATGAACAATCAATAGAATAACGAAGATATCACATCATGTGAATATCAATATTTAATATAACAACACTCAAAATAATATATTTTTTTATTAAGAAACAATTCTGTGTAGTAGATGTGTGCTCGCGCGCGTGTGTGCGTGCTTGCGTGTGCTCTGTGTTTTGTTGTTGTTGTTGAATCGTAAAATAAAGTGGTCCATTCAAGCAATTTTCACTGACATGTATAGGTCATGGTTAAACTGATATCATTACAGGAGCATGAAAAAATACAATAATTACAGGTAATACTGACCTGAGAGAATGAAAGATGGGTGCTTTTGTATTGTTTATCTATTTGGGAGCGTAATATGCAAGACAGAGAATATATTTCTGCATTTTATAAATATTTATACCTTTCTCATTCATTGAAAGTAACGCAAATTCGGGGTGACTCTTGTATTTGAAATAGTGCTAGGGTCTATTTCTTATCAAAGGGGTATACGGCTCATTGAATGTTTACAAAATATGTATTTGATGGTAGAAAACATTTATCGTAAGTTAGAAATTAATTCTAAATCCATTCCCATTACACTATATATACTAAAATATAGTGTATATATATAAGTATATAGTGTAATGGGGATGGACTTAGAATTCATTCCTGACATAGGACTGGGACATACGATAACGTATGTCCCAGCATAGGATAAATGTTTTCTACCATCAAATACATATTTTGTGAACATTCAATCATCCGTAAGCCTATGGAAAATCAATTTGGTCTCAACCCGGTACGGAATTAGACCCAACACGTCTAGAAAGTAGTTCTTTAAAATTTTGAAGCGGCCCAATTTAAGCCATGATCTCTAGAGAGATTGGTCATAATTAAAGTGTATTTATTGCATGTGTGTAGTTTTTGTGTGTTATATGATGACTTTAAAAGTTTGTTTTTTGTGTATTCTCCAGGAACTCATTTGTTGGCGGAAGGATTAAAGATGTACTACCCACTATCTGTCAGAAGTTTTAAAGTGGTGAATTTAAACAGTGTTACAACAGAATGAAGATTTCTGAAAAAAGTAGATGGCTATCCTATTATATTTTGGGTCTCATTGGACTTTGATAGTGTTAATGTTTAAAGTTGAAGACAGTATGTTATTCATAAAGAACAGTAGTATCCAGAATTAAGCCTCAAATTTGACTGATTTACTAAAGAACAAATAGTACGAAAATTCATCGGGCCGAGTCCTTTACGCTCTTTGGTCCGTACAAAATAAGATACGGGTTTGTACAGTAATTACCCATCTATTTTTGTCGCTTACAACGTCGAAGAAAAATCAAAATGAAAGCAAATTCGAACATATATGTTGCAATATGTTTTTGTTTCTTGCAATCTATTGGCATCTGTTTTTGTGATGTAGAGCAGCTGGAATCAACAGAGTTTAACAGTTTTGTTACATCGAATGACCTTGTCCTGGTTTTATTTAGTAAGAATTTACATGTAAATTTTGACACGTTGCTGTGTGATTAAATATTGACGTTGAATGGTTTCTTTTTTCAAAACAGAGTACTATATATTAGATTTTATTGATAACTGTTTACGATAGTATATGTCCTGGAATTGAAAAATCTACATTTTATTTGGATTTAAAGTCATTTTGTGCTACACACCTACTGACCGAGGCTAATTAATTTGGCGTGAACGGTTTGACACATTTTACAGATTTTTTTTTCTTACTTGCAGCGCATGTCCAAAATTATCTCAGTGTCTGTCAAGTCTAATTAGTTGGACTACTCCACACCATAGGTGTTTTCGGCTCGTTGATTGGTCACTACCCCCGGGTAGTCTCTATATATCAACTGCAAGACCGATTTTATAATCTGATTTTTCATAGATGTCTGTCTTTGAGAAGGGCGACCAACGTCTCTATAATAAAAGCCCTTAAGCCAACAATTTGTTCGGCTGTGCCGCTGGGCACCCTCCTCACCCACTCTACAACCCTCCTACCTCTCAAACCATGTAAACTGCAGTATTTTTTATTTGAAACATGTTTTTATATTTGGTATATACTTTTAATTCAATTTCCTTCATTTCCCACAAAAAAATAAAATTGATACATATATATTTCGTACAGGTTGCAACTAGCATTATTCAGCACTCATCTTAATATGAATTCCATAACTCCAACATTTTTTCACCTCATTTTCTAAATCTTGGTACCAAATGGTAGGGAATAAATTATTATTAAAGCAAATAAAGCTGTTGTTGCAATCATTTCAAGTTATGGGAAGATATGTAATCTGGAAGTGACAAGTGTTAGTCGAAAGAGACCTGACCGCTGGGTTTTTGTCAAAATTACCGACTAAACAGCAGTTAATTCGAAATGAATGAATTCATCTTTTTGTATTGTGCATATAAATATGATAAAAATAACATCAAAGCAACATCATATTTATAGGACTACTGAACAGCGAACAATGAAGTCTATTATCACATATAATAGATGTGCTGACTGAACTTGGTTTGCATTTGAACCGTAGATAAATTCAGTCACTGCAAGAAGTGTAAGGGTATATTAGGTGTTTAATCAGCAGGGGAGGGTTTATATATTTCAATATATTCTTATTTTTTGATAGAATTTCAAACCCCTGTGATAAATGACATCCTATAATTATAATCATTTATGATTTCATTTTGTAGAGGCTTCTGGTGAATGTCCATCATGTAATAAAGCACTTGAATATTTGGGTCGCCTGCCACAGCCAGATCTTGTTCAAACAGGTATGTAATATTACTAATGTTCAGAGAAACTGTCAACTGTTGTAATTATGATATCTGATCATTTAGTTTATACAGAATTTATTTTATATTAATTGTGTAGAAAACTATAATTTTAACGACACAACCTCAAATTCATTCCTGGATCTGACCAGTTCTGAGCGATGAGTGTAAGGTTTCTTGCTCAAGGAAAAATAGGTTGCTCCTAAAAGTGGGTTTTAACCTATTTGGCTTGTGGTCTTTATATTACAAGTCTGATGCCTGCCTCAAATACCAAATTGTTTGAAATAAAGATATAAAGATTCCTTAATTCATATCATGTAGTGATGTGGCTAACATTTTTTAAAAATCATCTTTTTTTTTTTTTTTTTTTTTTTTTTTTTTTTTTTTTTTTAATTAATTTTGATTAATTTTGGCAATTGATGCAAAATCTTTTCGGGTGGCTTAACAAGACAGTCCTGTTTTTGCTTTTGTTACACATGTATATCATTTGAATTTTTGTTTTGTAGAAATCTTGAAGAGATATGTCATTGATGACAGACTGGCGGACAAACTTGGGGCACTAGATTACCCATCTCTAGTCTACTATAGGAATGGATACCCAGCTTTATATAATGGTAAAATTTCACCCCTTAAAGGCACATTATGTCTCAGAATTGATTAAATTTTCTTATTCTTTAGAATGGTCAAAATTGAGATTTATAATGTTCAAATTATGGTTTGAGAGCCTGCTAGATGCTGATCACCTGAAGAATATAGCACCAAATGTTAATATTTGTCATAAAAGTTGTAAAATGTAAACATTAATCAGTATTTTGACTTCAATACACTATAACTACTGTATACTAATGATGTAAAAGTAATAGAAACAAAATGTGGTTAAGGAGATTGGCCAATGAGTAACATTTTTGAAAATATAACTGGACACCTAAAATAAAAGCTTTTGAGAATCAAAAATAACAGCATTCCAGTCATAATGGGGCTTAAAGATGTTTCCTAAAATTTCATCATGTCATTCAAATTACCAAAAGCAATTAAAAACTATCGAAATACAAATATTGACCAACACAAAAGTATAGAGTTTTGGTCATCCTTTACTGATAAGCATACTGGCAGAGTTTTATACTGGTAGTAGAGGCTAAGAACTGAACCTCACAGTCTCTGCTTTCAGGGTCTGCTTTCTTTTGAACAAGAGCAACTCTCCTGTATCTAGTTTATTAAGACAATATAGGCCTATTGAGATTTAAATTTAAGTGTTAAATCAAAGAAAAATTCTGACAGAAACATATATTGGTGTCACAGGGTGAGAAAAATGTGCAACCTGACCGTGACTCGAACCCATGACTCTTGGAATACCCTACCGCGGCTCTACTGACTGAGCTATCTGGCCCCTTACACATCATCTCCCCGAAATAGTGATCAGTTCTGAACTGTGACATTGGCATGATATTTTCAATTTTTATTTGAAACAGCCTAAAATTTCCTTATTGTATGGTGACTAGTCGCAATTGTATGATGAAAATTTTCCTGAAAATTGTCAGGATTTTGTGAGTTTAACTATTAAGGCATATTTATGAAAAACACAAATAACATATGTTATCATCTCATGATCTGAATGAAAAGTGAATGGTTTAAAAGGTTTTGTTGAAAATTCTAAACTTTGTATTGGTAATTATGTTAAACTTTCCCAATTTAACATGGTCAGATACCCACTGCCGAACCATAAACAGCCATGGGCTTTTTCGCCGGTATCCAGTTGATAAAAGGTGTGTTAAAAACAGCTTTTTCATGGGTTGCCTCAGGATTTCGTAAGGCAATGAAAACCAAGCAAAATGCTTTGTTCTATAGGACATGTGAAACAGGTTTACACCGTGGGCGCTGCTATTTTCTTTCTGATAGTTGTTTCCCTTTGCTGTCCAAGAATATAGATTTTGCTAAACACAGTCTCATTGGTCGATATTTAACGCATCTGCTGCTGTATATCGACACAATTTGATTTATTTTTACCCACGGTTGATAACATGTTATGTTACATGTTAATCAACCGTGGGTATCCGAGGATGCCAAATTAGAAGGCATAAAAAGTTTTTCACCGATGAATATTATTGTTATTTACAGTTAAGTTAAGCAGTTCTGATGACCTGCCAGAGCTTGTAGAATGGTTATCACAAGCCTCTGATGTAGCAACTAAAGATCTGTTTGATGACTCATTTGAACACCTTACCCAGGCATCAACAGGGGCAACAACTGGGGACTGGTTTGTCCTGTTGTAAGTAAGAGTTATCTTTCTTTACAGATTTATTAAGTTATCGTATGTAGATATATATAATAGATATTATGCATGTAGCAGAGGTTCATTGATCACAGGGAAAGTTAAGTTAAATTGATCATCCTTAAAACAAGTTTTCTAGAAATATGGTCCTGTCCATGCATTGTAACATTTGTCACATTATAAACTTAAAACTGGAAAAAAGACTTGAACTCATAATTTAATAGTGGCAGCATATTCTACCAAAGTGACTAGGATCAGCTGGCACATCATTCTGTGCTATCATGTACGGTTTCCTATTTAGTCCCTATTTATTTACATAATCTGATTTTTTTTATATAAGGAGAATATATAGAGAATATGAATATTTCATGAGTGTTTTTAGCCAGGAGTGAAATATGATAATTTTCATACCACATGATGAAAATAAATCCTGTATTTATAGATAAAAACTTGAATTTTCTGTTTATTATATACATTTTTCATTTTTATGCCCCCATTTCGAAGAAAAGGGGGTATATTGCTTTGCACTTGTCGGTCCGTCGGTCTGTCAGTCCGTCGGTCCGTAGACCAAATGGTTTCCGAGTGATAACTAAAGAACCCTTAGGCCTAGGAACTTCAAACTTGGTATGGTGATTGGTCATGACCAGAAGATGACCCCTATTGATTTTGGGGTCAAAGGGTCAAAGGTCAAGGTCACATTGACCTTGTAAGCAAAAACGGTTTCCGATCAATAACTAAAGAACCTTAAGGCCTAGGAACTTCAAACTTGGTATGGTGATTGGTCATGATCAGTAGATGACCCCTATTGATTTTGGGGTCAAGGGGTCAAAGGTCAAGGTCACATTGACCTCTTGGGTAAAAACGGTTTCTGATCAATAACAAAGAACCCCTAGGCCTAGGAACTTCAAACTTGGTATGGTTATTGGTCATGACCAGCAGATGACCCCTATTGATATTGGGGTTAATAGGTCAAAGGTCAAGGTCACATTGACCTTGTAGGTAAAAACGGTTTCCAATCAATAACTTAAGAACCCTTAGGCCTAGGAACTTCAAACTTGGTATGGTGATTGGTCATGACCAGCAGATGAACTATTGATTTTGGGGTCAAGGGGTCAAAGGTCAAGGTCACATTGACCTTGTAAGCAAAAACGGTTTCCGATCAATTAACTAAAAACGCTTAGGCCTAGGATGTTCAAACTTGGTATGATGATTGGTCGTGACCAGCAGATGACCCCATATTGAGTTTTGGGTCAAGGGGTCAAAGGTCAAGGTCACATTGACCTTGCAAGTAAAAATGGTTTCTGATCAATAACTTAAGAACGCTTAGGCTTAGGAACTTCAAACTTGGTATGGTGATGTGTCATGACCAGCAGATTACCCCTATTGGTTTGGGATCAAGGGGTCAAAGGTCAAGATCACATTGACATTGTAAGTAAAAATGGTTTCTGATCAATAACTAAAGAACGCTTCGGCCTAGGAACTTCAAACTTGGCATGGTGATTGGTCATGAGCAGCAGATGATCGTCACATTGACCTTATTGATTTTGGGGTCAAGGGGTCAAAGGTCAAGGTCACATTGACCTTGTAGGTAAAAACGGTTTCTGATCAATTAACTAAAAACGCTTAGGCCTAGGAACTTCAAACTTTGTATGATGATTGGTCGTGACCAGCAGTTGACCCCTATTGAGTTTTGGGTCAAGGGGTCAAAGGTTAAGGTCATGACTAGTAGATACTTGATAACCCTTATTAATTGTTTGATCACTGGGTCAGAAGTGATGCATAATAACCTTATCACATGACTAATTGGCTGCTGATAGGGGGCATACATGTTTTACAAACATATCTTGTTATATTACAATTTGAAAGATTTTCCCTAAAATTTGTGTATTTGCTGAATTTAGAAAACTGTAGTCCATTTCACTGCAATGAAAAATAAATTTGTTACAGTGAAAATACGGAAAATAAAAATATGCATTTTATTTCATCAATATTTTCTCAATATTTTATTTATAAGTATATAATAAAACTCGGTACCGTATGGTAATTAAACCTGGCTACCAGATCAGGGGGATCTGCCTTACTACCTGATCAGGGGAATTTACCTGACTACTGGCATCGTATAACTTAACCATGCACTACATACAGATAATGGATAATGAAATATACATTGTATATCTACAGTTATAAACCTGGCTGTGAGGATTGTATGAAGATACTACCCAGTGTTGAATGTGCAGCTATAAGGTATAGTTATCAATCCTTACTCCAATTAAAAGGGATACTCGGGCAAATAAATGACAAAAATATTGAATTGATCTTAGTTACTCAAATCATGTGTAATGATATTTTTATAAGTCCTAGAATGGATTTCTGTATAACTACTATTTATTACATGCTTTTTGGTGGTTTATAGAAATATATCCGTGATATAAAACTGGTAATTTCACTGTTTGAAACAGTGAAATTACCACTTTGATAATTTCACTGTTTTGAATTTAAGCCCCTTACGTTGTTTCAGTGAAATACCAGCGTGCACAGTACTGGGTACCAACTTAATGACCTGATGTTGTAAATGACGTCACGTTGTATTATTATTTGGTGCGCTTTTCATTCAGTATTATTTTAATGTCTTTTAAAACGTTTCTTTGCATATAATTAAAAGAAAATTTGTTTAGTTTAGTGTAAGATCAAAATATATTTCACCTTGTGAACACCAAAAGTTCATATTGCACACGTGGCTGCACCACTCATGAAATATACCTTTTGGTGCTCACTCGGTGAAATATATTCCGATCTTACACTGAACTTGACAAATATCCTCTATATATTTTGGGCTTGAAGCGTAATTATATCTTTTTATGTTGAACGAAATTAAGACACCGCCAGTAGTTATAAAACAAGTCATGTTACTAGAAAAAACCACTGGAAATTACAATAACAGATATTGTAGATATTGTTAGATTGAAATAAGTCTTAGACATGCATTTGACAGGTACTTTAACATTTTTACGGAGTAGTGGCGACATATAGGGATCACTTCTCCGTCGTCTGTCTGTCCGTCTGTCTGTCCGTCACAAAACTTGTCCGGACTACTCCTCATAAACTACTGGTGCAATTTCATCCAAACTTTATAGGAATGATCAGTACCAAGTCTAGTTGTGCATATTGTCAGCATTTTCCGTTTCAATGATTTTTGGCAGAGTTATGGCCCTTTAATAATTTTTAGCTCGACTATTCGATAAGAATAAGTAGAGCTATTGCAGTCACCCGAGCGTCGGCGTCGGCGTAACCACTTACGTTAAAGTTTTTGTAATAGTTCAAATATTTTCAAAGTCCATTGACATATGGCTTTGAAACTTTGCACACTTGTTCACCATCATGACCCCAACCTGTAGACAGGAGGAGGTAACTCTATCAAGCATTTTGACAGAATTATGCCCTTTTTTCGACTTAGAATTTACGTTAAAGTTTTTTGTAATAGTTCAAATATTTTCAAAGTCCATTGACATATGGCTTTGAAACTTTGCACACTTGTTCACCATCATGACCCCAACCTGTAGACAGGAGGAGGTAACTCTATCAAGCATTTTGACAGAATTATGCCCCTTTTTCGACTTAGAATTTACGTTAAAGTTTTTGTAATAGTTTCAAGTATTTTCAAAGTCCATTGACATATGGCTTTAAAACTTTGCACACTTGTTCACCATCATGACCCCAACCTGTAGACAGGAGGAGGTAACTCTATCAAGCATTTTGACAGAATTATGCCCCTTTTTGGACTTAGAATTTACGTTAAAGTTTTTGTAATAGTTCAAATATTTTCAAAGTCCATTGACATATGGCTTTGAAACTTTGCACACTTGTTCACCATCATGACCCCAACCTGTAAACAGGAGGAGGTGACTGTATCAAGCATTTTTTTTACTATCTAGCACTAAGAATAGTCGAGCGTTGCTGTCCTACCGACAGCTCTTGTTAATTTTAAAGTTTGTCAGGACTACTTCTCTTATACCACTAATGCAATTTCAATGAAACTTTACAGGATTGATCTGTAGCTCAAGTCCTTGCGCATATTGCAAGGGTTTTCCGGTTGAATGATTTTTGGCCGAGTTATGGCCCTTTGATAAAAAGGGTGTTTTTTCTGTGTGTTGCCAGATACGCAAAAGCTTGTCCGGACTACTCCTCATTAACTAATGGTGCAATTTCATCCAAACTTTACAGGAATGATCAGTACCAAGTCTAGTTGTGCATATTGTCAGCTTTTTCTGGTTCACTGATTTTTGTCAGAGTTATGGCCCTTTAATAATTTTGATTTTTAAAGTTTGTCCAGAGTACTTCTCTTATACCACTAAAGCAATTTCAATGGAACTTTACAGGATTGATCTGTAGCTCAAGTCCTTACGCATAATGCACGGGTTTTCCGGTTGAATGATTTTTGGCCGAGTTATGGCCCTTTGATAAAAAGGTGTTTTTTCTGTGTGTTGCTAGATACGCAAAAGCTTGTCCGGACTACTCCTCATAAACTACTGGTGCAATTTTATCCAAACTTTACAGGAATGATCATTACCAAGTCTAGTTGTGCATTGTTCGTCTGTCTGTCGGTCTGTCACAAACTTTGTCCCAACATGAAATTGGCCATCATGAGGCGACACATGTGATTACTGATCGCTCTTGTCATAGTTCTCTATAACAAATATTGTGAAATCTAAATGCTCTAACCTGACGCACATGGATCAAGTTGGGAAACCACCATTTTATTGTTATAAGGAGAAAAGTTTTGTTCCTGTGACTGCTTTGTGTATTCATTTTGACAACATTTATAGAATATTGAAAGAAAAATTCAAATCGAAGAAATAAAAAATTTGCCTATGTCTCCCTTTAAACTAAGAGATCAAAAGACTTGGAAATTCTATCAGTAACTAAGAAAATTATAAAGCTTTTTGTTATATTTTACTGTCTTTGTTATTAATTGATAATATTTACTTTTTTATACAGGGACTTATAGATTATTTAACATCTCTTTAATACTAAATGTAATTACAAATTCAAGGGAATCAAAACAAGGTGGTTTTTATATTTGATCTTGGAATGGTCCATTGTATAAACATTGGGAATTATGTTAAAACAACTTGCTCGGGAGGACTCATTGTTAAAACATTTGGGTTTCAATTTGGTCTTCCAACTAACCATTGTGAAAATGTAAGGATTGAATTTGATCTTGGACCTATTGTTTAAACAAGGGGTCAGTATAAAACTTGTTAATGTGACAATTAACGTGTGAGTGTGACATAAAACTTGTAAATGTGACATAAATCCTGTAAATGTGACATAAAACCTAACACCTGTAAATGTGACAAAAATCATGAGATTGTTACATTAAACCTGTAAATGTGACATTAATCCTGTAAGTATGACATAAAACTTGTTAATGTGATGTAAAACCTGTAAATGTGACATAAGACCTGTAAATGTCACATAATACTTGTAAATGTGACATAAAACCTGTAAATGTGACATAAAACTTGTAAATTTGACATAATTGCTGTAAATGTGACATAAAACCTGTAAGTGTGACATAAAACTTGTAAGTGTGACCTAAAATATGTAAATGTGACATAAAACTGTAAATATGACATAAACATAAAACATGAAATGTATGACAAAAGTGAATTAGAACATATATAATTCAACATAATACTCAAATTATGCTTTTCACAAAAACGTTTAACATTCAGAAATTGTTGATCCATAAGTAATTTATCTTCATGATATTATTATACCCCCGCACAACAAAGTTGTAAGGGGGGTATACTGGAATCAGCTTGTCCGGCTGTCCGGCCGTCCGTCAATTTTTTCTTGTCCGCCCAATAACTTAAGATTCCTTTGACCCTTAGTCTTCATATTTGGCATGGAGGTTAGTCTTGATTAGTAGATGACCCCTATTGATTTTGAGGTCACTAGGTCAAAGGTCAAGGTCACAGGGCCTTGACTTCAAAAAGCTTGTCCGCCCAATAACTTAAGATTCCTTTGACCTACAGTCGTCATATTATTTGGCATGGAGGCTAGTCATGATTAGTAGATGACCCCTATTGATTTTGAGGTCACCAGGTCAAAGGTCAAGGTCACAGGGCCTTGACTTCCAAAAAGTTTGTCTGCTCAATAACTTAAGATTCCATTGAACCTACAGTCTTCATATTTGGCATGGAGGTTAGTCATGATTAGTAGATGACCCCTATTGATTTTGAAGGTCACCAGATTAAAAGGTCAAGGTCACAGGGGCCTTGACTTCAAAAAGCTTGTCCGCCCAATAACTTAAGATTCCTTGACGTACAGTCGTTCATATTTGGCATGGAGGTTAGTCATGATTAGTAGATGACCCCTTTTGATTTTGAGGTCACCAGGTCAAAGGTCAAGGTCACAGGGGCCTTGACTTCAAAAAGCTTGTCCGCCCAATAACTGAAGATTCTTTTGACCCATAGTCTTCATATTTGGCATGGAGGTTAGTCATGATTAGTAGATGACCCCTATTGATTTTGAGGTCACCAGGTCAAAGGTCAAGGTCACAGGGACCTTGACAAAAAAAAAAAGCTTTTCATCTCAATTGCTTAAGAATGTCCTGTCTGCAATGTATTGACATTTTCACATTTGAAGCATGTAGAATACATAACTTAGCAATGCACTGGCTTAGTAACCTCAGATTTGGCAGGGAGGTTGTCCTTGATCTCTAAATGGCCACTGTTGATTCTGACAAAGTGGTGTGTGGGGGTATTCACGCCATGATAGTGGCAGTTCTAGTAATTATTGTTTCATTTCAGTGTTAAATATAGAATGAGCTTTGCAAAGATTGATGTGGATCAGAACCCAAAGTTGACTAAAAGATTTAATATTACAACATGCCCATATGGAATTTTGTAAGTATTACACCAAAGGACTATGAATATCGTTTTCTTCTTATGATTTCAAAGTAATCAGCCAAAAATGCTGGGTCTTGGACTTGTTTCATGGCTTTTTGCTTCAATAATTGCTGATACCTTCACTTAATATGAAATATTAAATGCTCAGATGCTAAAGGGACTCCACTAAGGACTTTTGACATGAAAGGACAAGATTATTTGTAAAGATTTTTTTGCTATTCGATGTAGGTGTTAAACAATTATTTGTGGAAAATTTCTGAACATGTTTTTACTCCTTTTACCTAGATTATTAATTTTCATTGACTGTGTAAAGTGACCTAACAGTTAAAACTGTTAGCACTTTGAACAGAAAATATGGAAAAAAATATAAAGAAATTCACTCTAAATTTATTGGGAAATGCTTGATTTTATTGCTATTTTAAGTTAAAAGTGTAAAGTGTTTCAACCTAAACAACTAATAATTAAATGAGCTCTTGTGAGGAGACTATTTATTTAGTCTACAGAATGTCTATGATTCTACTCATAGTGTCCTCAAAAATAAAACCTATAAAAATTGCCGCTGAGGCCATTTTTTTTTACGAGTTGTGTATTTTTAAAAGAGGATTTGAATGAGTGAAAGTTCAATACTGAATTTATTGAAGATTGAATAAATTTTATTATGGACCCTCGGGCGAGCATGAATTTTTTTATTCAAGAGTTCAAAAAATTTCTGAAATAATTTTCACAAAATTAATATTCTATTTATCACATACCAAAAATAAAGACTGTTTAAAGTGAAAAAAGCGTCATTTTTCATTGACGCGCCTATAGTATAACGCTATCATTTCGCGTGTCGTTACTCTATGTTTGTATTAGGCAAATGATGTCACGTCAAAATATATGCACGGCCTTGCAATACATTATTTACGGAGTCGCTAAATTGGCACGGGTGTGTGATAATATATTTAAAGTGACAGTATGCCCTTTCAAGGATATAAAGTGAGTGAAGAGGTCAATGTCAAAATATGTTTACATTTTCCCATTTTAATTCCTTTTAAATCTTATAATTTACTTCACATGAAAGATAGATAACTCCCGTTGCCCTAACTGAAAAAAATGTCTTTTAAAATTACAGGTTTAAGAAAGGCAAAATGTACCCGTATGAACCAGGGAAGTTTGATACAAACTCACTGTTAGCTTTCACTGAGACCTGGTATAAGAATGTAAAGTCATCACCTGTACCAAGGGAGCCCACATCATTGTGAGTATAGCTTTGCTCAGTACTTTGCCACTGTAGGTTCAAATCCTTTCTGAGATAATGAGCTCTTTTTATATCAATTTAGCTTGCAAAGTTGTCTGTGGTTCTAACCATGTACATGCTCATGCCAGTTTAGAGTTTTAATGTACAGGGTGGCATTTACTTTGGACATTTTGAACTAATAAAACCCGAGATTCTATATGCATCATGTTACATTGATAGGGCAGGTTTCTTTGAAAAACAAAGCAGATAAATATTTATTCTAATGTATATTATGTTCTTTAAATAATTATGTTTTCTCATTTAAGTTATTTATTTTTAAGTTACTTATTGTCATTTTGTCATGAAGTGATAGTATTATGTAATGGTAACATAATTTAAGGGCTATAATATCTAACATGAGTTTTTTTTGGGTCTACATTGGGATTGTCCAGTTTTCAGGGGATTTTACATAATACATGTATCATAGTTTCCAAATGTTATATTGTACATCTTTTCTAAATTCCATATTGTATACATTTTCTGTATAACATTTGTTTAGTTGTACATATTTTCTAAATTCCATTTGTTACATTATATGAACACGAGTGCATTGCCTTTCATATTTTTTTCCTTATAAAACAAAATCAACTTTCTATTTTCAGTGATATTTTAACAGAAGCTATAGCAATGTATATAAAAGTAAGTAGATATTATTTAGTGATAGTGCAGCACAGCAGCTGAACTTTAAAAATTTAAGCTCTAAATAATTATATTGGTTGTTGCTTAGAGATGTTCCTCTACACAGGTTATATATTATAGTAGAAATCTTTATTTTAGGAAGAAATAATATCTCTGTTATAAAGAGGTAATTGTTCTACAGAGATTAAAAAATAACCCCAGTTATAAGCAGGGGCTCTTTATACAATCCCTTAAAAAGGTGGTTTTTTCAATGGCGTTCAATTCTTTTATAATGGTTGTAAAAATTGTAAAAATCAGTGCCATATCCCTTCCTTCCCACATACAGAGGAAAAAAGGTAAATGGCAGCTTGTACCATTAGATATTCAAATATTTGCATGGAGTCATTGCATAGAATAGTTGGTTGTAAACATTCATTACCATATGTCCCCTCCTTCCCACATGCAAAGAAAAAGAACATGTAAATGCTATTAAATATTCAAATATTTGCTTGGAGCCATTGCATATAATAGTGTATTCAATCTTTATTTAAATTGATATTTTTGTTTTGTTTTCAGCAACAAGTAGAAGACCCAAATAAAAACTTGTTGCTGATTCTTGGTGTGCCATCTGTGTGTTTACTTGTGGTAGTTTTATTGATATTTGTGCTCAGAAAACCTCAGGATACAAGGAGGAAACATGACTGATTTATTATTATTCATTTAAATCTATTATGATTATAGAGGATATTGAATGAGTGTAAGTTCAATACTGAATTTATTGCACGAGTTGAATAAAATTATATTATGGGAGCCTCTGGCGAGCATAATATTATTTTATTCAACGAGTGCAATAAATGCAGTAATGAACTAACACGAATTTAATATTATATTTATCACATACTCAAAATAAAGACAGTTTAAATTGAAATAATTGTCATTTTTCATTGAAGCGCCTTTAGTATAACGCTAACATTTAGCGCGTCTTTACACTATGTTTGTAGATCTATAACTCTAGTGAGGTCACATCAAAAGATATGAACGGCCATGCAATACCATATTTACGGAGTCACTTAATTGGCACGGGTGTGTGATAAATGTTTATATGGAATTTGATTCAATTAGAACTGGTTCAAGAATTGAATAGGATTTACTGTAATACAGACATGAAAGTAAAATTTCAATTTAGAAGAAAGTTGTGCTAGTAAGCAGGCCATTCTATCTTTAAACATGTATTTAGATGTTTTACTAGCTCATGAGAAAAGCTGCTTGTCAAGTATATTGCTGTTTTTTGACAATTGAAAATGTTCTAAATACAGATTTTAAAGTGCTGGATTGTTCTAAAAATAATTGGATTTATTGAATTTTTCAAAATAAAGAATTGAATTTTCTCAATTGTTCTCAAATTTAAAATTGGATTTACTGAATAAACTTTTTTTAATATTCTTGATCTAAAATTGCTTAATATGAATTGGATTAACTAAAGAGATGTTTGATATACTGAATATAATTATGTTCTTATTATAAAACTGGATTTACTGAATTGTTATTAATATATAATTACTTATTCTGAACTATTTTAAATTTGATGTAAAATTAGATTTATTGAGTTTAATTTTCTGGATATTGAATTGTTCTAAATATTGAAATGTATTAAAAGAACTATCCTATATAACATTGGATTTACATATTATTCTTACCATGGCATTGGATTGTGCTGAGCTGCTGCAAAACAAATTGGGCATACATGTTTCACACACATTTCTTGTTAATCAAAATTAAAATTTGATCTATGATAGAGTTTCTGATATAGAATTAGATGTGTTGAGCTATTTTCAGTTTAGAATTATATTTATTATATACCTATAAATTTTTTCTCCCTAAAATACACGCAAATATTAAAGCGCAAATACGCTTCAACGGATAGAAATTTCTGTATTATGTTAGTGATAAATACAGTACCATATATGGAAGTGCCAGACAAATTTTGACGTTGGTTCCGATCTTAGATTTGTATAACGTTGCATTTGAAAACGGGAACCAAAATTATTAAAGGCGTGGACGGTTTTGCAAGAATTACATATTCATCCATCAGTCATGAATTTATTTCTTGACAACTACATTTCATTTTCTGAATAAAACGAAAAGGTACATAATAAAAGGAAAATTATGTTAAAGTAGCTTTCTGAGACTATGCATTCTTCTACTGGCAACGTTGGAAAATGGATATATCGCTCGACCTTCTGTCTCGCGAGATATCAATTTTCAACCGCTGCTCATAGAAAAATACAAAGCCTCAGAAAGCTACTACAACGTAATATTCCGTATTTACATGTCTGTAAAAATAAAATCTGTTATAAAGAACTGCTGTTAATTAATATACAAATTGATTTGTTATAAATATGAAATTGTATTTACTAACATATTCAGAAAAATTGGATTTACTGAAAAGTTTTAAATATATAGAATTTCATTTACTGAACTTTTTGAATAACAACACTATTATTTATATATTGCATTTGATTTATAGACATTTTAAAAAATAGAATTAAATTAATTAAATTTATCTTAATTTAGAATTAGAATGACCAAGTTGTCGGTTATATTAAGGGGTTTAATACAACTAAGTCTTAATCCATGAATTGCATTTGTGATTAACTTGCAAATTATTTGTTTTTATTAAACTTTCTCAAAGATTTTTATTTTTTCATCATTTTGATTTCTTAGCTCACTTGAGCATATGCTACCTGAGCATATGCTCAGGGTGAGCTATTCGGATCACTCTTCGTCTGTCGTCTGTTGTCCGTTCACACTTTTAAAACGACATCTCCTCTGAAATCATAAGGCAGATTATAATGAAACTTCACAGATGTTCATTGTGTGAAGCCTTAACAAAGTTGTTCAAAGAATTCCATTCCATGCAGAACTCTGGTTGCCATGGCAACCGAAAGAAAACACTTTAAATATCTTCTTTTAAAAGCCCAAAGAGCTAGAGCTTAGATATTAGGCATGAAACATCTTTTAGTGAGTGTCTACCAAGTTTGTTCAAATAAAAGCCCTGGGGTCAAAATTGGCCCCCGCCCCAGGGGGTCATTGATTTTCCCTAAATGCATATAGTAAAAACTTAAACAATCTTGTTTTAAAGAACCCAAAGAGCTAGAGCTAAGATATTTAGCATGAAACATCTTCTAATGAGTGTCAACCAAATTTGTTCAAATTAAAGCCCTGGGGTCAAAATTGGCCCCGCCCTGGGGGTCATTGATTTTCCCTATATGCATATAGTAAAAACTTAAAAAATTATATTTTAAAGAATCCAAAGAACTAGAGCTAAGATATTTAGCATGTATCATGTTCTAATGGGTGTCTACAAAGTTTGTTCAAATAAAAGCCCTGGGGTCAAAATGTGCCCCGTCCTGGGGGTCATTAATTTTCCTTATACGTGTAAACCAAAAGCTTAAAAAATCTTCTTTGAAAAAACCAAATTAGCAAGAGTTTAGATATTAAGCATGAAACATCTTCTTGTGGGTGTCTACCAAGTTTGTTCAAATGAAAGCTCTTGGGTTAAAATTGTCCCTGCTGGGGAGGCAGAGGTCATTGTTTTTCATCATATGTGTGTAGTAAAAACTTTACAACATGAAACATCTTCTTATGGGTGTCTTCCAAGTTTGTTCAAATAAAAACCGTTCGGTTTAAACTGGCCCCGCTCCGGGGGGCGTATATACAGGTGAGCGACCTGTAAGGGATGTTAATATGACTTGTAGAAATGACAAAAATCACAATGGAGTGACTGCATTTATGGAGGAAATGAACTTGAATTTTGTATATGTTTTTATTGATCTCTTGATTATTTTTTACTTCGGAAACAATCAAATGATGTTTTGTGAATATAAAATGGAATTATGAAGAAAAGATGAAAATATTAATTGAATATTTTATGAATGAATGCATTTATATTGTTCTTGTTAAAATTATGAAAAAAGTCAGGTATTGAAATAAAAATTGATGAAGAATAATTTGGTCTTACATACTTGTAGGTAAAACATTCCGGCGGGAAAGATACCTATATCAGCTTAAACAAGAAAATCCCCGCTTATTCAAACGAGGGCAGTCACAGCATGAAAGGGCTAGGTTCAAAGACAAACCTTCCGTCAAACATTGATTTATTTACTAAATATGTCACACTACAAACACCATAGCTGAGATATTTGTCATGTGGACCACAAAATAAATGGTATTTATCATGGCCCATGGGTCAACATTGGCTCCGCATCGGAGGTTACTGAGTTATACTCGAAGTCACTTCTTACGCGTCATCACTTATTTCACGGTAATGGCATATTTTTATGTGACCAGTGATAGAATTGGTCAGAATTGACATATTTTATTCATACACCTAAACAACAAAGTTCTTGTGAAAAATATTTTAAATCTATAGATTTTGACAACATTTTACAAACTTCTGCAAAAAAACAACGATAGTCCGTTAAATTTGTGCATACATGTACGTCTGTTCTAAATAATCTTGTTTGTTGAAAAAATAAATTTTGAGTTACAATGTAAAGATACTTTAAATATTTGAAATGATGCAAAATAACATGTACACTTTTAACTAAAACATGAAAAAACTGAAATAAAACACCATTACTGTGATTTAAATGATGACATACTGTTTTTAAAATGGCCGACATATGGTCTACATCTGGCACATTAAAACTGATTTTAACTGAATATATTGTTGTTTCATTGTCATACAGCAGAAAATACCTATATGTTACAGCTTATGACAATTTTTGTACCATAATTTTTGTGTTGTTTTCTTATTTGCTTCAAAGCGTGAAGTACCGTGAACTAAGAGGAGCACAGTAAAATACATTTTTGTGGAGGAAAACACATTTATGTCGATGAAACTACAATGCATAGACTTTACACATTGTATTGCTGGCCTTTTCAAACTGGTATTAGTATTAGTCATGCGCCTTGGGTCAATGTTGACCCCACCCATTGGGTCACTTAGTTGATTTAGTCTTAAATAAGAAAACAAATTGCAGTCTTATTTTGTGGAACTTCAATGCCAAGAGCTAAGATATTTAGCATGTAGCTTTACCTTGTAAACAATATTTATCATGCCCCTTGTGTCAAAATAAAATTGGCCCGCCTCGGGGTCACTTGAACATAAGAAAACACATTTCAGTCTAATTGCGCGAAACTACAAAGCCCAGATCTTAGATATTTGGTATGTGACATCAAGTTATAATAATCTTACCCTCAGGCACCGGAAGTCATGGGAGCTTTACCTAGACTATATGAGACACATCTAATCTTTTTGCTGATAAATTCTATGCGTCTATATTTGGCATATAGCAGTGCCTATTACCTCTATAATAAAAGTCTTATGAATCATGCACTTATCGTAAAACATGCTCCCACCTTGTAGGTTATAAAGTATAACAAGGATAATTTAGATAAAACAGTTTTCAGACATGTTTCTTGACTGGGTCTCTACCCTAATGGAATGGGTTTAATTGCGTTTGCGCATGCGTTAGTAGCTGACATTTGTTAGATACTCAATATCTCACTGGAACGAGACTCTCCAACAAAAGTTTCTTTTTATTCTGAAAAAAAAATTGCAGAGTGATGTTTGAAACAACTATTATACTTTATAACAAATTTTAAAATATTTTATGTTTCTTATGCTTTCCCGTTTGCCTCCAAAGCGTAGCTTGTAAAAAAAATAAGTGTACTGGTTTACGTTGTTATCTCTACCTTTAGAAAAGTGATGCCGTGTAATCTTAATATATAACAAACGTTTAATTTGTACATCTAAGGACCCTTCGTCACACATTAGATAAACTGAATATATAGTAACTGACCGATTTTCTTTTTCCTTATCGACACAGCTAAAATAATGTGATATTTTCATTCCTCTCCGCTCAGTGTGTATCAATACATTAAATGAATAGAATGGCCTCGAAGATTCTGCTTCTGCTTCTCGCAGCAGCATTACCAACAGGTATGTCGAACTTATGTTTATCTAACTGCTAATCTTAATAACAATATATACAAGTAACTTTATGCCTAGGGATAGTAATAGCTTGTTGGTTAGTTTGTGAAAGGTTGTTGCTTAATTGAATGATTGCTGAAGGTATTTTAAGCTCGATTTATTTTTGAAGAAAAAAGAGCTATTGGAAGTTGCCGCCGGAAAATCTTTGTCTTATGTCTCCCTAATAGAATACCTTTATTCTCTGACACAACAACCGAGTGAAAAAGAACTTCAAGCTGACTAAACTGACCTCGACCTTCACTCATAATAGACATTGACCTTAAAGTATTCGAATTGTGCTTGATTTTTGCAATATCTGGCTATAACTTTGTTATTTATGAATTCATACTTGGATACAATTTTTCACAGAGCATGTCCTATATGGGAATTTAATTGATTATAACGTTCACTCAGCAATGACCTTGACCTTGAAGGTCAAATAATTGAATTTTGCTTGACTTTTGCTCTTATTGTTTATAATTTTGTTCTTATAAATGTAATGCCTTCCAACTTGAGCACATCAAACTTACTGACAATGTCTTAAAAAGAACAAACCCAACTTGACATTGTCTTGCAAATGACCTGGACATTGAAGGTTAAATTATTGTTATCTCATTTTTTTTTGTTATAATTTGGCATACTTTAGTTAGTGTTAAATGTATTGTCTTCATGCTTTGGTACAGTAATCGATGGGAAAATACATGAGGGAAAATCTTCATTGAGATTTACCTTAGTTTAATCTTGACACTGAAGGTTTTACTAGTAAGATTGCAAAAAATGGCGATATCTTTTTTGTTTATGTATACTTTGGCAAAAGCACATTTAAAACAACACTGACATGTAAAGCAATTCAAATATGACCTTGACCTTTTATTTGGCTTTATATTTACTTGTCTGTAAGGGTAAAATAATGAATTTAGCTAAGATTGTCATAACTTTGTTATTTATTTACGGATTTGATTTATACTATGAAAAAAGAACTCATATGACAAAATAGACAAGTTGAATTATTCTGATATGACATTAACCCTATATTGAACTTGAATGTCAAGGTCAAATTATAGAAATTAGCTTAAGTTGTCATAACTTTTTTTACAGATTTGATTTATTCTTCAAGTTGGATAAAATAGAAAAGATGATAAAACAAGCATGGGGAATTATTCTGATGTAACCTTGACCTTTCTGTTGACCTTGAACGTTATTTAGTAAACATAAAGTGGAGCATCGTCCCCGCCTGGCGGTGGCTCTTGTAGAATAATGGCAATGTATCTCACTTTTATTGCCATATTTAAGATGTAACCTCACTTGCTCCAATTGAAAACTTGCTTCGCCATGACGATAGTGACTTCCTGAAGTATTATATTACCATACTAAATTTATATTCTAAAAATATTAATTCTGTATTTCTGTTCTTGTTGTCCTTATACTTTTTGTTCTTCTCAATATCAGCATCACCATCATCATCATCATCATCACCATCATCGGCGGCGGCGGCAGCAGCAGCAGCAGCAACAACAAAAACAATGACATTTACCCTTTCCGATGTTTGTTTTCTTCAATCCAAAAAAACATGCTTAACTCTTGATATTCCTAGCAATGTAAGTTCAGTTAAGATTTAATCAAGGTTTGTACTTGTACGCTCATCTTACGTATTTTTTTATTGGTACGGATAATATTGACGTACATTTACCGTTTCTTTAATTCTTTATTTAGCACAGGGCCTCACATGTTTACAATGTAGGGGTGTTTCACAGCCAAGGCACTGCAACATCGTGGATGAATGTTACCCAGGAGAGGTAATTAAATGTTGTTTTTGGGTAGTTCTTATTTGGAGTGGGGGGGGGGGGGGTAACAGCGGGCTCGATTAAACTGACGTCATGGCACTTTATCTGTATGAAACCGTTAATCTTTCTGTCAAGTCAGAATAAAAGATATTTTGATGCATAATGCCAAACATATTTTAGAGACATGTTGTTATACATAATTAAATCATTTGCTTAACTCTTTAATCTGAAATATTGAAAAAGTGTCCTCTTTAAGCCCCAAACACTTGTTTTCGTTTGAGGAGTGTTCCTTAAAAAGTGATTTTTTTTTCGGCGCCGCCCCTATCAAAACGATACATCTGGGGGTACAAGAAAAAGGATGGTAGGGGGGCTTGAAAGGAGAGAGGGCGGCACGCAAATAATATTTGGGAGAAGTTAAAATTGCCTCAGATCGATTTTAAGGTAAGGTGTAACCAACACTGAAAAGCCTTTGAATCTTTCTCAATCCATTGATAAGTTGCAGCACTTTGCATCAGTTGTGATTAAAAAATCACCCCAATACAATGATTTTTGGCAATTAAGAGCTGAATTCTCGTTGTCATGATAACAGGAAATTATACAGTAAGCATGTCGTTACAAAATAGATAAATACAGAATCCCTAAAGAAAGCCCAACACGGCAAAATTGAAAATGTTGCAGGCTCGGTTTGATTGAGCCTGTTCATGGATAGATGAAAGACTATGGTCCAGTAAACATTTGTGCCAAGTTTTATCAGTTTAAAATTTTTTATAGTTTCATAGCAATTTAAACCTGTAACAGGAGGCATTTTAATGAAAACAGAGAATTTTCACAAACTGCTTTTGGAATGATGGGTTATAATTGTTAATCTCGTAAAAATAATTATATTGAATTAAATGGAAATTTACAGAAAGACAATGTTGTCCTCTTTATATAACCTTTCAGAGCCGAATCAACAAATAAATGTTTGTTCATATTGGTTACATGGCTAAAGAAATGCAAATACATTTTTCTAGGTTTGTGGTGTAGAAAGGATCAACAACCACCTTGGGCAAACAGTGTATGATGTTGGATGCATACATCAATCGGTGAATATACATTTAAAACACTGTAGTTGTGAGAATTTCTTTTTAAATCTTATGAAAAGTTGATTAAGAACTCTTTTTTGTTCTTTTTTTGTTTTGGACCTTTAGTATTTCACTTTATACATATTATGTATGAATGTATCACTTCACTGTAAATTACTCAAATGTTATGCTTGTTTTCCAATCCATATATATTGTGATGTAAAATGTTACATGCTTGTAAAATTGATAAATAAAATATGATGTCTTAACTAAATTACTCACTGTATATCACTCACTGTGAATCACTCACGACATACCACTCGCTGTAATTATTGTACTTATACATTTTGTATAACTCACTTTATATAACGCACTGTTTATCACTCACTGTGTATCTTTCAATGTGTGAAGGTCTGTCATTGGATATAACTCACTGTATATATTTCGCGTGCGCTACATGCCAATCACTGTTTGACACTCAGTGTACATTTTTCACTGAAATAAAACGATTTATGCTTTAAATATGAATGCATAAAATTGTTTGGTTCTTAAGATATCTCAGGAAAAATATTTTTTGTTCTAAATAGTGTACAAATTTAAGACAGATTATCTCTTCAATCTTTTACATTATCGACATATATCTCATAATAATAAAATCAATGTTTATGAGGCGATACAATGCATGTACCGTTTTGAAAATAATTATATTTGTAATCAGAAATGCTACAACAGTTCTATGAACCAACAAAGTTCCATCAGTAACGAGTGTAAGGAATGCTGTAACACTGACATCTGTAATTCTCAAGGCTGTGGTACACCTGGTAAGGTGATTTACAATTGTGTATAATTATACTATAAGTATGATTAATTCTGCTTCTGCTGGTGATTGTCTATAGCGACTGTTTGCGGAAGTTTGCTTCTCTCGGTGCTTAATATAAGGTACACGGATATTATTTGATAACATTCAATGGAATCAAGGCCAATCGATACTACATATATTACTATAATTGTAGTAAATTACTTTTCATATATTATTTGACTATGATTATTACGTCATTTATATTTGGTTAAATACCGTAACAATTATATTTTTTTCAGTCTAAACTTACCATATTCAAAACAAAGTATCAATTCATTTGATAGTTTCAGCATATGTAATTTAGCTCGATTTCGAAACAGGTTCTTGCCACTTTTATCAATCACTTTCGAGTCAGCTTCCTGGAACTTACTAGTACTGGTGTCATATGAAGAAACATGATCGTGAACCGAGCAGGGCTCGAACCCATCATTTGTTGAGAGACAGACGTTTTATCCACTAGGTTATCCTTCCCCTCTTTTATATAACATCAGGACATGCGAATGTGCAATTAACAGGATTAGCTCATAGTCTTATCCCTTAATTCTATGGGTTCTTATTGTTATAGACATTTTGTTTCCTTCATTTGAATAACCTATATCTGACAAGCCAACGGACCACTTTCCTGATGTAAATACAAGTCATAGCACTAGTATAGGGTTTGAGAAAGTCACACATACCGAAACTCAAGCAAACAAGATTTCCTTATTAAATGAGTGTCACCATAGGTGTGTCGATTATTCTGCCTTGAAACATGTACGGAAGAGCACTTAAAGTGTTTTCCCGCCTGTGAAGGATATCTTTATCGAGTCTGAAAGTTTTCAATGAAGATTCATATAATTCTCCAGAATTATTATGTTGATTTTTATTATTGTTATGTAAACAGGTTATCCACAAAACAGAGGTCCAATTTGTCACTTCTGTCCATTTCATACGAGTATTAATATGTGTAATGAAATCGCTTTCTGTGAAGTGGGCGAAGTAAGTATATCATTAATTGTATTTTCTACCTCCACGCTTTCAATTTTTAGCTGATAAAATAAAAAGTAACCTTTATTGGTTTTCATTTTCACTCTCGAGTAATCGCATTCTTAATATTTTTTTTTGTAATTTGTGGCGTAAGACAGTAAGTTGTGGCCACATACAAGATATTAAGTTGTGACGATAAGATAATATTATGATAAGAAAATACTACATATGAAATCTTAATTCCACCATACGAATGCTATATTATTTATTGTTTGCTTATATTCTCAATTTCTGTTTGTCATTCAAGTACATGTTATATATAAATTGATACATTTTTATTTCAAATTTTCAGGTATGCAAGTATTCTGTTTTAAAAGAGTTCGGGGATACCATTTACTCTAGTGAATGCTCTAACAAACACGTAAGTTTATGCTTGTTTATTTATATGTCGGACTCCGTTCTTGTAAGTTTTATTATATTTATTTCCTTTGTTTTGCTTCTTTACTTATAACTATATCCTTTCGTATTTTTTTCACATTCATACTTTTATTTATTTTGTTGTCTTTATTCAATTATTTGTGAAGTGTTTTTTGAGTGCGGCATACGCTGAGTCTGGCTCCGTTATATCTGTGTGGGACATTTGTGCAGGTCGAATATTTTCTTTACATCGACATGGCATATTGAAAAATGCAACTGTTGCTCGGATATATTATATGTTATTTTGGTTTTGGAGTGATATATGTGGATATATTACCTGTTAAGATTTTATATCACCCGAGCCGTTAGGCGAGGGTGATATTTTATCTTGGCAGGTAATATATCCACATATATCACTCCAAAACCAAAATTATAATTTTATTACCCTTCCCCTGCCGAGTTTAGACGATTTTTTAAAAAATCATTGCTGTTTCAAATGAAACGTCGAAATAAGATTCCCTGTAGGATACCTCTTCGTCACAACATGACGTCACATAAATACATGACGTATTTTTCCCGTACCTTACGAAAGTAAAAAAGAGAAAAGGAGTAGTCTATTGAACGCACTTTTTTGTAATTAATATCAAAGCTTTCACAAGGTCATATTTGTTTTCGATACTGATGGTAATATGTATCATTACTCTACTTTGGTATATATTGATCATTTGACAGTTAAAAAGTGCTTTTAAATCGGAATTTACACCGCGTAAAATCGAACCGTACGCGCATCACCTCAGCGCATGTTGTTTACAACGTTGGGTACCAAACGGGGAAATTTAGTGTGTATATTACCCGTCTGGCTCGGTTATATCAATTTCTTTCGGGTGATCAATATCCAATCAAAAAAGGCGGAAAAAATCTGGAAGGGTAATAAATCGTTTTGTGTTTAACAGGGGTCTGTCCGCCCGTTCAGCCACAAAAAGAGCTTTCGTTGTAGGGTACACAACCTAGTCACCAGTTATTCCCTTAAAGGCTTTTTTAAAGTGGTGATTGATGAACTCCGAGAAATTTCCGTTCGGTTATCAACCACAGAGATGTATGTATGTATGTATGTATGTATGTATGTATGTATGTATGTATGTATGTATGTATGTATGTATGATGTATGTATGTATGTATGTATGTATGTATGTATGTATGTATGTATGTATGTATGTATGTATGTATGTATGTATGTATGTGTATGTATGTATGTATGTATGTACAGTAGGGTGAACGTTTCAGTTTACACGCAAAACGCACTCTCTGGAAAAAACGCACGCACGTTACACGCTATACGAACAAACGTTACACGCATGCTTTACCAAACGATATACGCAGACGCACGCAAAAACGATATACGCTAAACAAAATACGCTAAACGATATACGCACGCTAAATCGCACGCGAAATAAAAACGTTTCTAAACAAAACGTTTTTAAACGGATTTATGTTTATGTTAGAGTTGTAATGCACTCAACTTGGCACAAAATTATTTTTGTCGTGCAGTCTAAACAAATGTGTTTTAAAATTATAAGCTATCATGCGCTAATATTAAAAAATAATTCTACGGATTCTTCTTTATGCGCAATTGTGAAAAAAACTCTAGATAGACGTTTATCACATCTAAACCGCTTCCAGCGTAAATAAAAATAAAAAGAATGGTAGAAACTTTAGCAAATCAACGATCAAATCATCGAGTTAAATACACAGAAGCGAACGGAATTAATAGGACTTTTTTAAACAAAAAGAAAAACTACGTTGCAGAAGGTGTAAATCTATATGTGAACAACGCGCGTCGATGTACGGTGTCCATGGTACTTAATCATAGGGTCACTAACTAGATAGAATGTTAGAGTTAACAACACTTAATTTATGTTATTTATAGAAATGTTTTTACTTAAAAAAGAACTGAAAAATATAAATATATAAAGTTAATCATCGCTAAGACTATATTGTTCTAAGCTAATGACAGAAGCAGACGCACTCTATTTAAACGTTCTGGACCAAACGATAAACGGACGCATACGCACGCTAAACGATAGCAAACGCACGCACTCAAACGCACGATAAACGTTTGTAAGCGATGCACGCTTGAGAAAGCGTTTTAGCAAACGCACGTTGTACGATATACGCACGCACGTTACACGAAAAACGAACGCACAAAAAACGCCATTTTTGACAACCGAAACGTTCACCCTACTGTATTTATGTGGACTGGTTCCCTTATATTTTTATATGAATGAAAATAGTCCAAACCGGTGAAATAAGAATAGTATTATTTTACATAGCAAATGATATAGAACAGATGATTTTATTTTGTTTGCCTTTCCATTTAAATCATTCTATATCATTCCTCACAGATCAATTGAGGTTGTCTCATGTGACTGTATTGGTAAGTTTGGGGCCAAGTGCCGTCAATACTCTAAAGAATATATGTCATATTTGGTTGTAAAGTAAAAATATTGTATTTGTTTAAATGGCTTTAGTTTGTCGAACATTTTAGGAGTCTGGTTGATATGGGAATGGGTTTAACTTAACTTCGTCTTTAGGCATTCTTATCCAAATTCATACCGGTATTATATGCTGGCATAATTTTTGGAAACGTCTAGGATGGGTTCGCGATCTATGCGATGTTTTTATGATTACTTTAAGAAAAATTAAATCGCACGAATTTTTTCAACATGTTGAAAATTCAAGCGACAAGAAAACGAAGGCATGCGACTCGAGCGACGAAATTGAGATCTTTCGAGACATTTTTGAAACCATCTCGCGAATGCTGTTCGCAAGTATGTCGCTCACATTCGCAGCTCAGTGTGTGCGACATGGGATTAAGTGTTACACTAAACTGCGACCCCTGGCGAGTTGTTTAACACAAAAATTTAAGACACATTTTACAAATTTCAGCAACAAAATCTCGCGCGATGTTTCTCGTTCTTATAACTGCGACATGAATGCGAACGTCGCCAGACTGTTGCGCGAATGTCGCACGCATTTCGGGGAAATATCTCCTGTGTCATCAATTATGCCGGCCGAAGATAGCGCGATTAATGCACGACTATCGCACGATACCTTTTGTCATCTGTTTGTATGATGGTGAAAATTTTTGTATTAGCGCATTACGAATTCATGACAGTAACGAGAAGCAATATAGAAATGAGAAAACTCAGACAAAAATAAAAGCAAAATAAAAACTTGAATTTGAGACATCATTTGAGATGGATCCACCATTTGATGCTTATTTGGCTGTAGATCACAATGACATACTGAACGCGTCAGAACGTATTAGTGATATTACTGCGGTCTAAAAAGTCACGACAAAAGGCGAAGAGAAAAAGAAGGCAAATAAATGGAGGAGTGTATGGTTATAAAAATGACTTTAATGGGACCTTAGTATGGAATGTACAAGAAGCTGATGAAGCACCTAAGAGAAGTGATGAAAGTCTGTCTTTGAGTTGATTCGTTGTCATTCAACATAAAAGTGAAAGATTTAGGCCAAATACATCAACGAAACAAACATCACCTGTTCACTGGATTAAAGCTTGCCATCACACTCGTGTACATTGCGACCGGGAATTTGTTCATGTTGCTGTCTTATGGCTTTCGTATGGCCCACTTCACCGTCGCCAACGATATGATAGGCCATTAATGACCACTATCATTATTAAATTTAAAGAAAAAACAACAAAAATGGAGTGGGGGATGTGGCGCATTGTTTCTCCAAGCAATAGATTTCACATCACTGTTGTTGCAGCATTGATTGCATTCGTGTAAGGATACAAGCTCCGCAGACATCAGGTAGTGTCTACTTCGACATCGAAGGCTTCTACTCGAATATCTTGATGGTTCTGGTAGGCGCCAACTACAAGTTTATACAAGTTCATTTTGTCATATTTAGTGGTGACTATGATGCTGGAGCGTTTTGTGAATGTGGTATACCCAGAGACTGGCTCCGTGATTGCTGCTAGGTGGGGGAAGCCTTAGTGCAGGCCGTATCTTGCGATTTAACATCGGCGTGGCATATTAAAATTGCAACTGTGCTCGAAAGCGTATCAGTTTAAGATTAAATCGCAAGTAGTAGTAGTAGTTTGTGTTTATCGAGTGATCTATCTGCCCGTTAAGTCGCAAAATACATTTTTCGCAGACCCCGGACATGTCACCAGTCATTCCTCTAAAGAGTTATTTTGAAGTCCGAAACGAAGACCTGCAATTCGTGCGAAAACATTGAAAGTTTACGAGACATGTTTGAAACTATCTCGCCAATGCCGTTCGCATGTGTGAGAGAGGTTTTCGTTAGAAATATCCGGAGTATGTGTTGTAAACAATGATAAGTATTGCACTAAACCGTGGAATTCGGATATTTAAGTTATTTTCTCAGGCAATAAGAAACTTAATCATTATAAGTCTTGTAATAAGTAGTTAACCTAAAACAAATTATTTTAATTTGTTTATGATGTTTCGATGAGGGAATGAATCTAAATTCATGACTCGGTTTACGATACCAATTAAAGGCGTAAAGATTTTTTTTCTTTTTCTGTAAGGTATGTCAAAACAGTATCAACCATGGAAATGTAATTGTTGGTCGAGATATCGAAAACTCTCGCTCTATCATACACGACTACTCTTTGAGAAACGACCGTTCTTTGACCGAGCATATTTGCAGCGGATGTTGTGATGTTGACTTATGTTTTAAAGGTTGTAATGAAACAAACGTCTCCATTAGTAAGTATGTTTTCTTGAAGTTAGTATGTTCTTTCTAGTCATGTCTACATGCGAATTAATTTGACCATGTTTTTATGCATTTGGTTTTGTAATATGAATTTCAGATTCTTGAATTCTAAGCGGAATGCTTTATGAATTAAAATTAAAACAATTATGATTCAATAATTGTGAAATTCAGAGAAGAAAATGAAATGAATATATGTCAATATGTTCTATGTGCAACACATGCCTGTTTTTCTGTTTGTTTGTCTGCCTGTTGATTTGTAGTTTTTTTTCTTTGTATGAAATTTTTATTACTGACAATGATAATACATGTATTTAGTTTAGGTGTGACATTCTCCCGTTAAGGATTGAAACTGGACGTTATATCAGTGAAACACCAGAGCAGATAATTTGTTTGTTTTGTACCGATAATAAAATAGAAGATGAAAAGCAATTTTTAGTCCAGTGTCCCTTTACAACAACATCAGAGTAGACATTTTTAGTGAACAATTTATTAATGTAGATTTTATGAACATGAACTATGATATGAAAATGAAATATCTTGTTGTAAGTTTTCAACGAAAATTAGCTAAATACCTTGTTAATTCTGATCTTAAAAGAAAGAAATCATTGTTTAATCGTTGAAATATTCATCCTGCAATATTGTTGATGTGTACAGTATAATAATTTCATGTGAACTATTTAATAAGTATTTATAATGTATATATGTTTCAGGTGACTTATTGGTCCATTGGGCCGGGTGTAATGCTAAATTATTTAATTTCGTTAATTGTAAACTGTCATACACATGTCACTATAGTAAATACTTACTTACTTACTCACTCACTCACTCACTCACTCACTCACTCACTCACTCACTCACTCACTCACCAATCACTCACTCACTCACTCACTCACTCACTCACTCACTCACTCACTCACTCACTCACTCACTCACTCACTTACTTACTTGTATTCCTTTTCCAACAGAAAATCATTGTTCTTCAAGTCCATGTTTACATGGGCAGTGCCAGAACACACCAGCAGGATTCACATGCAAATGCAATTCTCCATACGTCGGCTTGACATGCAACAGTCGTAATGTTTTTCCTGGTGATCAAAGACCATACTTATTATTTGTCATTTACAAGATATATAAAAACGAGTGGTCCAAAGTTTTGCTCCCTTTTATAATCGAGGATAGGTTTATAGTGTTGAATTATTTGTATTGAATGCGACCTAGTTAAGTAAATAATACGGATTAAATATGAAGCTCAAAGAGCAAGTTATTTGGCTCTGTGAATCATTTATTACTCATCAGATTTCTGGTACTGGTCTACGTCAAGTTTCTTCTTTTAGCATTAGAATCGGATCAGCGATTAAATGAAGCTCATTGTAGAACTATTTCTACTGCGAATCAGAATGATTGAGCTAATTTCCGGACTATTTCTTATTTGAATCAATTGAGCGCTTTATCAAACAACAGTTTATTATATGATTCAAGAAAAGACTATTTATAATGTAAACCAGAACTTTTCACAGCATAACCGAACTATTTCCGATTTGAATCCGAATTGCCATGTTTCTGCATCTCTCAATCTCTTTTTCCTGTTATAGGTGGAGCTACTGATTGTTATGATATTTACAAGAATGACAAGGATTCAAAGTCTGGGGTATACAACATTATGCTGTGGAGGTCTAATGAAACTATAAATGTTTACTGCGATATGGATACTTCTCCTCCTGGATGGACGGTAAATATGAAATTAAGAACATGCCATTGTATATACCACTATAAAATGCAACCTTTAATGACGACGGTCGAAATCTGTGGCTCCAAACCTGTGGCCGGGTGGTTAAGTGCATTTTTATATCCTTAACTGTCGTGATACATATCTATCCCAGTGTCTGAGAAGCTACTCATTTGGCCTTTCATAAATGACCGTAGATCTTGTGCGGAAAATGTAATGTTATAGGCTCCTGGGGTCACAATGTCCAATGCACCTTTAAGCGTTTATGAATGACTCTATCCATTAGACATATTATTGTTGCAACGCTTCTCCATTGTCTGCGGTTAATTTATTTCTATTTATATCTGCAGGCTTAATTAGCATTTTTTGCTACATGTTTATGTACGAATGTAACAATGAACTATATGTTTATTAGTATGTCCTATATACGTGTTACATTGAACTGTATGTCTATTGATATTTCTATGTTTCTTGTATGTATAGACGCTGTCACAATGCCTTTTACAATGTACTATATGTATATGTTTGTTGCGATAACATGCCATTGCTTATACACTCAATGTATTGACCGATAAACTTGTCACAATGTTTAACATCCTTTTTGCAATGAATGGCATTTATGCCTGTTACAATGAATCTTATGTATATTGCAATTTCATGTCATGTTTGTTTGTTGTGTACAATGGTCTTTATGTCTGCTGCAAAAGTTTTTAACTTTTTGTTCCTGCATTGTCATGATTGCTTTAATCTTTAATCGCCGAACTGATTTTTGCAGCGACCTAAATATAAGTTGCTACAAATGTGTGTTGAAATAACCTGTAAGTAGATTGCAAGCGCATTTTATGGTATAATTTATGATTTGTGTAGTATGGTTTCTTAATACGACATCTTTGATTTACTTATGTCAGCTGATTTGTATTTTATTCTGTTTTGTTCCAAATTTAGGTTTAAAATATGCCACTTTATATTGCGCAGGTATTCCAGAATAGATTTGATGGATCTGTTGACTTTTACCGCAGCTTTTCAGCATACATGCATGGTTTTGGAAACATAGACGGGGAATATTGGCTTGGTAACAAAAAAACCTTTAAGTAATAAGTTGTTGTTTTACTTTTATCAACTTTCTATATGTAACGGATATTTCGAAATTGTTTATCGTGTAAAATGAGAAATGGCAACCCAATTGATATTCGTTTCACCAAACCGGTTTTATCGAGATTATAAGGTATGGGAAATACCGAATATTGCTGATTAATACGATCTACTGATGTATGTTATACGTTAAATAAAAATAACTTTGCGCAATAATATATCACATTTATAATATTTTCACACATATTGTCTTAGTAAGTTCAAAAGGTTGCAAATCTGATTGATGCATAAATATACTTTTATCTTAAAAAAGCTTTTATGTGTTTCCATGCCTTGAAGTTTTGTGTCTGTATACACATGTACTTAACTTCCCTTTCCAATCTAACATGACATGACACGACACGACAGAAAGCGAATGCAGTAGACACTACTTCAAACCCTTTCTACTTGTCAGACCATTTTACGACGCAAAATTTGAAGTAGTTTCTCGCACATGCACAACTTACGTAGAGCAAAAAATGCAAAACAGTGCGTATACGTCAATATATAATTCCATGTAAGTTGACTGGACACAGTTTTAAATGAAATCATAACTTAAAGCAAACCTTTTAAATAAAAAAGTAAAAGATGCCTTATTACGTTGTTACTATGGTTGCCATTTGAAGAAAATTAAAATTAGAATTCCTTTTAGTGACCCATCGGACTTGAATATCATTGAGATAAACGTTGTAAAAATCAACATTTATCTACTATAGCAAAAAAGGATCTCAACTCGATTCTTCTTCAAATTGTTTAAAAGATAAATCAAAAGTATGAGAGATTGGCATGACATTATGTAATTTAGTTTGGTGAATAAGTAAGTATACAGCTCACCAATGGTGGGAAGAGGAAACAATGCCACGAAGTTTATTAGCATTCTGATAAAGTTAAAACATGTAAATATACACGTATTTAGTTATCAGTTAGCTGATTTATATCAAATTCGACCGTGATACCTATCAGAAAATTTCAAAGTCACATAAATAAGTAAATTAATTTTATAGTATCTTGATAATAGCTGTCACCCAAGTGACGAATGCCCCGAAAAGGTTTCTTAAGCATGCAGGTATTATGAAAAGAATATAGAATGAAAGTAACTAATTGCTTAATATTGATCGTTGTATTATTGTACATGTAATCTGTAATTGTGATAGCGTGTGCCTTCAAAATATAAGAGTGGCCTTTGAAGAGGGACGTGGTTCCTGGACGCGACAGATAGTCGTCATGAGATATACATGTGTGCCAAGTTATTTCAAAATCCCTCAATGCATGACAGAACTACTGTCTGGACATCATTGTTGTGTAGGTGGGGACACACGGACAGACAGGCGGACACGAACCTTAGGCGAGACACGTTCACTTGATGCTGTAGACATTTGTGCCAAGTTATTTTAAAATCCTTCCATGCATGACAAAGTTACAGTCCGGACAGGAATGTGTATCTTCAAACTCTTCTCGAGAGAATGAGTACCTTCAAACTAAGTGTGACATTGACCTTGAAGGTAGGGACATGGGTTTTAGTAGCAACATGTCGGTCTAGATGAGGTAGACATTTATGCCTAGTTATAATAAAATCCTTCGATGTATGACATAGTTACAGTTTAGACACGAATATGTGTACCCATAAACTCTTATTGTGATAAAGTGAAATACAAAATGTTGACTTTGACCTTTGAGGTAGGGTCTTGTTTTTAGACGGGACACATCGTCTTGACTTGGTAGACATTTACGCCTAGTTATTCTAAAATCATTCGTTGCATGACAAAGTTACAGACCGGAAATAAATGTGTGTACATATTAACCTTTTTGTGATAAAGTGAAACTTCAAAATGATAGCGTGACCTTGGCCTTTGAGGTAGGGACATGATTATTGGACGCGACATATTGTCTCTATGTAATAGACATTAATGCCAAGTTATTCTAAAATCCTTTGTTGAATAACAAAGTTACATTCCGGACACGATTGTGTGTACATATTAATTCTAATTGTGATAATATGTAAACTTCAAAATATTAGTGTGACCTTGACCTTTAAGGCAGGGACGTGGTTCTAGACGCAACACACGGTCTTGTTGTGGTAGACATTTGTGACAAGTTATTTTAAAAATCCCTCAATGTATGAAGTGGAGGAAGGATGTGCCACTTAAATTGACCATTTAAGGGCCATTTCTTTTGTTATTTTCTTTTGTTTAATAGAAGGCCGAGGCAATTTATTCTATTGTTACGGAACGAAGTCTATTGTTCTTTTTTGTTCTGTTTACTGTTAGATGGCCCCCTTACCCTATTTGGTTGCTCGCACAGGCAGACGGACGGACAGACAGACAGTGCGATTTTAATATGCCTCCCTTCGGGGGCATATTAAAGTTATAAAAACAATTAATTTTAGCAAAATAACTCTTTTTATTTAATTTATCTTAATACATTTTCATTTTTCATTTTTGTTTATTTCAATTATCATAATTCACGAAATATACAAAAGCGTCCCGTTTAAATGCCTCTATAAATAACTAGCTTAACAATCAACAACATGAAAGGAAGTGTACAGTAACAGTTATCTGTTTAATAAAGTCGTATAATAATACTTTCAACCGATGAACCATAAAAACCTCTTCATCAGAGTAATGTTTAATAATTATGTTGGTTAAAATAAAGTTCCGCTTATTTCTTATATTTGTTTTAAATTTCAAATAAAATTTTGGGTGATAAAACTTACCGCTTTAATAGGTTATTTACCGATTGACATTACTTGTATTTTCATACAATTGTAAGAGTACAATGAGAATATAACCAGAATGTATCAGTGTCTTTCAATTTTTGAGAAACCATGGATTCATAAATGCAAAAAAGTTCAAATTAATTTCCCGTCGGTCATTTATCAAACAACTTGATTCCTTTGGATTCGTGTGAAGCGTTTATTTACCCATCTAATATTGATAAAAAGAAAGAATGCGCATGCGGAAGGTACTACATCTGATTAAAACGTCTATACCGCTTTTCTACTTTGTTTGATTATCCCTCCGACAAACGAAGTTTGAAGGGGTATACTGGTAGTCATCTGGTGGTTGTCGGTCGGTCTGTTGCACAATTCTTTTCCGGGACATATCTCTGAAACTGCAAAAATATCAACTTCAAATTTTGTAGGTAGATAGACCTCATTAAGTAGAAGTACAAAGTAAAAGAACCGTAACTCTGTTTACCATAATTTTGGAGTCATTTTCCTTTGTTCATATTACACTTTCAACATTATCCGGGACATAACCCTTAAACGACAAGGGGTATAAACAAGAAACTTTGTAGGTATATAGATCTTATTAAGTTAAAGTTCAATGCATAAGAACTATAACTCTGCCTTGTCTAAGTTTGGAGTTATTTCCCTTCGTTCATTTCAACACTTTGCACTTTGTCCGGGACATAACATTTAAAATCACAAGGGATATAACCGAGAAACTTAGTAGGTGGATAGATCTCATTTAGAGGAAGTGCATTGTAAAATAACCGTAATCAACTTTTACTTTTTTGGAGTTATTGCCCTTTGTTTTTTTTACCTTTCAACTTTGTTCGTGACACAACTTGGGGAATATAAAAGGTAACAACTTAAACTTTTGTAGGTATATAATCTCACAATCTCTGAGTAGAAGTGAAGTGAATAAAAACTGTAACCCTTCCACATAATTTTGGAGTTATTGCCTTTTGTTCATTTTTACACTGAGCTTTGTCAAGGTCATAACTTGAGAACTATGAAATCTATTAACATGAAAATAGATTGGTAGATAAATCTCACTGAGTAAAGTGAAGAAATCTCAGAGAGAAAGAACTATTGGCTTTAAAATAAGTCATGATAACTTTAAACCCAAACTTTGATTTATCTTATTGATGTTAGACTAGACAAATAATTAAAAGCAACATTTAAACAATATCTATAAACATTCTATAAGCATTCTCCGTATTTGCAACATTATTAACTTAAAATCACGTTTTATGACAAGTTCGTTTCGGGGGTATTGGGCACTTGTGTGACATTTTTTCTAATTTCTTAGAGCGCCAAGAAGTCGAAAGAAACTATGATTACGTTCATGTAGATAGAGACTTTAAGACGAGCCATCGCAATTTAGGCTTTGCTACGGAGATTCTTTTGCGTTATATTGCGTTTTTTATGACGTTAAGATAAGCGAGCTTCGGTGTTCGTTAGGCCCATTTAATCTTTACGGCTACCATTTTGTTTTTTCACACATGCACACATGCGCTTACACTGCGTTCTAAAGTTCATGTTTATGTACAGGTTTTTATCATTTTCCTCATTAAACTCATGCTCGTCCCGGGGTTTTCTACGCCGTTAAGTCTTCTTTCTCTGTTATAAAAATGCTCTTTACTCACCTAAAAATCGTTTACATGATGCACCTGTAAATCAGCAGGTAATCGGCCAGCATGCGACCTTTTATAATCCATGTTGAAATGAATGTTTATTTGTATAAATTGTTGCATCATTGATACAACTTTGTTCATTGTCTATGTCATGAAACGTCACTCAACGCTTTGTGGTCGCCATTTAGGTTCAAACAATTGTTGTAAAAGTGTTGTAGAAAAGCAGTAGAAATACGACGAAATATCCGTGCAAGTGTTAGGTTCAAACCCAAAGCTTGCATTCCGACCACTTTGGCGTATCCATTGCTTTCAATGTGATGATAATTTCGAGAATATACCTTTGCCAGATCGTTGAGCATGATTACAGTTTACGCCTTCGGTCGGTTTTCTGTGTGATGCCACTTTCATGTTGCGATGATGATGCTTGCGATCGGACAACGATCCCAACGGTAGTTTACTTCTAGGAATCGTTGAGAATGCCTTTCTGATGTGACAAGTGTTGTAGTGTAAAAATACCTTAAAATATGGATTGTTTTGGATAACATTTTAAAACAAAATGTAACCATTGATCTAAATAGTCAGATAAAAAGTTTTTTGAATTTAAATTTACAATGAAGTGCTTACCTACGATATAAAATCTATTACCTAGTGCAATTTTCACAGGACTGCGTTTTATCGAAGAAATGACGAGACAATATGAGAGTGTGCTTAGGATTGACCTTCTTTCTGCAAATCATTCGCACGTGCATGAAATATTTCAAAACTTCAGCTTGTCGAACTATCCGAATTTCAGATTGTATCTCGGAAACCAAACCGTTGAAGGAATACCAGGTGAATATAATGTCATTTAGCACCTCAGTTGAAAACCTAGTTACATTTGTAGCATGTATATTTCTGATAACATAAATCATTATGAAATTCATAAGATTGATGAACAGATGCATTTTTAACATTTTTTAAGATATTGAATAGAATTAAAAAGAGATCTTATACCTGAACAAATATTGATGATATTATTTATTTTTGAATCTTTGTATTAATATAGATAACAAAAAAGGATTCATTGATCTAAACGGACAGGGCTTTACCACATATGACCACGACGTTGATAGAATTCGTGGTGAAAATTGCGCAATATTGACTCATGGTGGGTGGTGGTACCAACAGTGCACAACGGCAAACTTGAACGGTCAGTATGTTAACCCACCAGGATCCATTTCCTCTATAAACGGCGGCTCTGGAGGCTTCATTTACTTTGACTGGCAAGGTGTAAACACTCTTAAAGCTTCTAAGATGATGTTCAGGAAACAGTACCAATAAAACACTCCCGTAAAATTATCCTCGTTTCCTTTTCCCTCTTATATAAACATTATATTAAGATTAAAGATAGTTCAAATATAAACCGACTGTCTAAGCCTAAATTTATTTCACTTTATTTTTGTTTTGGAAGATATTTATACTTGATACAAAAAAAGACCGGGCAGAATGCAACATGAGACAAAGTAAAACGCTGGCTTATTATACATATATTTTGTAAAATCTATATTAAATTAAGAACATTGGACAACTCTCAACCACAAAGATGAGATAAAAGTTTCAATATAATATAAAGTAGATGAATTTATGTTTGTACTATAGTTGTGGTCGCGCATCCCAATTAGCAAATTTAGCGTTTACATGGACTGTTAAATCACAAAAGAATATGTTATCGCCTCATATTTCTATTCAAAGCAACCAGAGTACGATAAAATAAACTCTTCTTCTTAAACTTGAAACTATTCTCAAAGGAAAAGATTAAACCGTATATTGTTGCTGATATTTATGCAACTAAGACTGTTGTTTTTAACAGACATTGAAATTTTTTTAAAACAAGAACAAACAAAATAAATACAGTGAAATTCCTTATTTTATGATCGATGCAATGCAAGGACAGCAGGTGAATCTGTTAACGATTATTAACTCCGGTGATGAATTGATACTTCATCACAAATACACGGAAATGGTTTGCTTAATGCGATAGCTTGTGGGAATCTAAAGATAAGTTTAAGTTACCAAGATTGCGACTATAAACATACCGTTTGTATGGAAAAAAAATTGATGTGATAGAATGTAAACTTTTTATAAAAGTTTTTTTATGGCAAACCAGATGTTATCTTTTAAAAATAATGTGTATGACAGTTTACAGTTTTATTTGAAATAAGATTCAGGTTAAGTGTTAAGGATTTAAAAGTGATAGATTTCGAAACAGATTTATTTTATTTAACCTTAAAATTCCGTATTTTTACGTGTGAATGTTACTCTCTACAGTTTATTATGGTATTATGTAAAGGAAAAAATAGAAAATGAATGAAAGTATCGTATTGTACAATTTGAATATTTTGTCTTTATTATAAGAACTGGTTTACTTTCCCTTACGCATTGTTACTTTGCCCCGCATCCGAGACAAAATATAACCACCTAATTACTCCTCATTAAACAAAACACAAACATGCACACGCACATCTTCGCACGGCTTTCAATATGCTCATTTTATATTGTGCTTTAAAGATATACTATGCTCAAATTGCATATTTGAAAATATTTGTAATTGCCACACAGTCTCTTTGTTAATATGAAATATAAAATGTTGTAACTTCACAAAGAGTATATAATTGTGTTTAAATTCTAAACATATAGGTGGTTACTATATGAATATATATAGTGTCATTAAAAAAGGCAGTTATTTTTAGAAAAGGCCTATTTTACTTTATTTGTAATAGGGCACACAGCCTCCAAAAGATAATTTATTCATCTTTTGTTTAAATTGGACATATTCGGTTAAATTACATAGATTTTTTTATACATTTCTATGATAAAAAATAGTTTTCGCAACGAAGAGCATAGTATATCTTTAAACCATGGTCAAACTACAGTTAAAACAAATCTTCGAAAGGCGTACGATTTAAAGTCCCGACAGAGTCCTGCAAAGTATACTTTGATTTCATCATGTTAAAACACCTGAAAAACTAATATGAGAAATCTAACAATGTCTACTATGCATGCATGTATGTTCTCCGTTGTCCTAAATATGGTCCTGCACTTTCCAAATAGACTTAATGTCTTTCTTGTTATGAATCTAGGTAGGACCGACCAATCGTTGACATACGTCCTCCTGTATCCTCCTGTAAAACGTGCGTCGTTTATATATATGTTGTTCTTAGTAATGGCATGCCTCTGTGTTACATACATGTAGTGTTGTCTTAACGTATATTTGTGCTGAGAATGCGATGACCTAACCTTTAAACATGTTTGTAAAGTGAGAATTGCAAAATGAACTAATTTTTAGTCAATTTAAAGATGCAACCGAAATTAATTTGGAATTAAAACCGGAAATATTCACATAACACTCAGAAACTGCAACGTGTTTTATGTGAAAATATGAAAAGTTTTTTATGCAGGAAAGATAGACAATAAGTTTAAGTTATAGCATTAAGGTCTATGAATATAACGTATGTTTTCTGAAGCAGCATATTTTAAAGCGGAACAAATTAAGTAAGTATATATATATAATAAGTGTCTACTATTTTTTAATAGTTTTTTGATAAAATGGTCGAAGGAATATTGTAATGGTTTTCAGGATTGCATGTTATTTTCCTTTAATTATATATATTTACTAATGATATTTCTATCAGTGTATTAATCGATTTTTTAGGTTTTTGTATATGATACATTCCCCAGCCTGCGATTGGCTCCGATTTAAAAATCCTAAAGCCGTTGTCATACAGATTTCTCAAGACTTTAAGTTGATTGGCAATTGTCACATTGCCCCAGGTACTGTTTGTATATCTATAATCAACAACACGGTTGCCACTCCATACATGCTTAAAGCTAAATCCAAAATGAATTTCTAAACAAATTTGTCTCACATATCTAAGGTCACGTGATTGTATGACGTCAGGTAACACTTTCCATTCAAATCCTTCAATATCAATCTTCAAGATATCAATATATCTCTGAAATAAAATTAATGTCTGATATAAAATTTCTGATGTATTTAAAGAATTGTAAACGAGACAGTGAACACTTATTTTCTGATCACAAGGTAGAAAATTTTCAGCTCATTGTAAGACACGTCATGGCCCGAGGTTAAATAGAAATTCTTTATGCTTAAACTCGGATCTTAGGTAATAAATTGGTCGGATTATGCCACAGAATGTTCACCGACCAATGAAAATACTGAGATTTGAGACCGAACTTAAAATAATTGTATTACAGCGAGTCAAAAGTTTCTGTATTCCATTTTTTAAGAAACAGTGCTACGGATATTAAAGTTTAATTGTAAGGGAAACATCTGATTCACAGACGCGCAATTACACACAACTTCATATTTGAGGTCAAACTTTGTTCCAACTTGACCAATGTAAGCACTCCTTCAATTGGAATTACATGTATATATCCTATCTAGCTTTCCACTGCCCCTAAGAGCGTAGCGGAAACGCAAAATCTGGTTTTAATGAATAAGTTACAGGTTAGCCATATTGGATTGCGGAAGCATCTCTAGGTGTCAGCCTATTGTACATAGTTATAAAGTTATAACATGCTTACTTCTTCAATGATCTTTGGCATCGGCCATTTTTGTTGGAATTTACGTCGCACCAACATAGTATTTCAGCTTAACTGCCGTGGGAAGACTTAAGGTGTCCCTACGTGTGTAATTTAAGGCACGAGCGGGGACCTTAGTAGAACCACCAACGTTCCGTACGCCAGCTTCCACACAAAAAGAATACAAAGTTTCGAGCCTACAACCGTGAAGAGCAAGTCGTTTGAAGCCAACTAGCAATCACGTCATTGCGCAATAGTTAGTACCCGAAAATACAAATAACATTAATGATAATGCTATAGTACAATAGCGATACAAAATGCTTTGTCATGTATATGGCATCGCTAGGTCAGCCTTTGGAACATGATATATTAGATATCTTTATTAAATATAAATATAACTATATTTCCCTTTCTGATGAGCACTTCGTGTCCATTATAATTCTGTCAGAGACAGCGATCTAAGGTAAGTAAATGAATATGTATTTAGATATAAATGTGATCGAAAAAATCTTTTGAGCTTGATTGTCATTTCATGCCCGTATTATATAAATGGAAAAGAAGAAAGGTAAGTTAAATAACATCACAAACCTTTTCATGACGTAATGATCGTCTAACAGATGAAAGTCTTTTCATTTGCCAAGTTGTAAAGTCTTTTAAACTTTCGGGTGCCGGGATTGTAATATCGTTATCTGAAAGTCCAATGAGGTGAAAGTTAACGCCCTTTGGTATCTGTACACCATTTGTTGAATGGCTGAAAATAGTAAAGGGCTGATAATTCATGAAATCAAGATCGAATTGCCTATGACGATCAATACAAAACATGAGTCTTTAGCGTATTATTCTACAAAGTTGTTCCCCTTGTCAGATTAAAAATAAACTTTTGTCTCTTTGTTTAATTTTCTTAGGCCTATTCTTATCTAATGATGAATTTAAGTTTTGGAGAAGCTTTGTTCCTAAAATATCAAATGGAGCAATTTAATTTTTTTATTATCACCAAGTAATACTTTATATTATATAGCAATTTGATAAATAATTAAGAAAGGATCCGTATGTCAAAACTTTACCTTGGGTCAAAGGTATGAATTTCACATTTGAAATCCTTCCAAATCGAATTTTCAAATTCAAAATGAAACTCTGAACTGGAAAGAGAAAAAAAACAGCCATAACTTATTCAGGGCTGGGAATCAAAACTGCGTCGTATCATACAAAATGTAAACAAACGCCGCCATCTTGGAGCGAAAAATGTATGTTTTTGTTTATAACTCTTTTTGTTGGAAATGACTGAAAACAAGATATATGTATTAACACGCTACACTATTTTCCGCTTCGTTCGGTATATGTTGCTTGCACAACTATTTTGTAACACAAAAGTTATAGCGAACTTGCAACTCGAAGCGGGGCAGAATTTTTATGAAAATGTGTGGATACGACGCAGTTCATATTGCTTTATCTATCGTTTTTTCCTTCAAATCAATTATATACTCGTTTTCAGAGTTCACCATAAACGTCAAAACATAATTTTGCATCATTTACTAAACTTTCATTTAAAAGAGATGTTTATTTGCCAAGAAAATAATGATTTTTACGAAATGATACGACGCAGTTGAAAATAAAATATGATACGACGCAGTTGTATTTTCATTGCAGGCTGAATATTGGTTAAACTATTTAAATTGTGTGCTAGGTATGCCAATAACGTCATACAACATTTCTTGTTTACAACTTAAGTCAAAAGCAGAGGTCACTCATTGGTTTCATAAAAATGGAAATGTAATACAATTCTATTAAGGCTGCATTTTTCGGTCGCATTTTAGTACTAATCATAATCATCTACAAATTCCGAAAAGCTGTATCAAATGCAATATACATTGAAACACGTGATCGCACACCCATATGACAACGTGTTCTAGTGTTGCCTTAGCATGCTAATAAACTTGTTCACGTGAGTTCGAAATGGGAGTGATTACTATTTTTGATACAAAATTCAATATTCCAGTGTAACCTCCACTGGACCCTGTATTAATCAGGAATGACTTTTTTCTTAAAAAAAGAGAAAAAATTACAAATTTTGAAAAGGTCTCTCGCTATCGGGAATGCGCAAATTGCATGCCTACCGTTGTTACTTGTAATGAGCAATAATTTCCGTCAATTCCGTTATTACTTTTGTCTTTTACGTGCCAATTTTATTGTATTCATTTTCTGAATAATCGACGAGGACAGATGAGCTTTATTATTTGAAACTGAACATTAGATTTTTAAAATAATATTATAAATGGTTAAGCTACAATATATTTTTGCAAGTAGGTTATGCGTTCCGTTTAGTCATTTTATGTTCAGCGCCGCGGAACTTTACCCCTGCGTTTCTTTATCGCCGATGAGGAAATGTCTACGGAATGTATTTTCTATACTTGCTCTTGAGTATCATTCTTCTCCATCAAAAAACTATTTATTTTGTAAAAAAGGTGTCCGTTTTGCAAAGGTATTTTACGCTATGCACCGATAAATTTGATACAGATATAGGCAGACATGATCTTTCAACAGTATTGAAGAATTATTAAGTTTTCACAATATTGAACAATATTGAACAGAACATGTCAGATTATCTTATCGAATTTTCAACAGACTAGAGACATGACATCTTAACACACCTTCATACTAAAGTGTGATTTTTATTTGATAATGAATTGCCTGAAAACTTAAACAAAAATTTTTCAGAAAATGACTTCACAGAGGATGACCCCCTGTTTACATTGAAAATTTCTCTGCTATTACGCAATACCGAAATAATAAATTTAATTTTTATTCTCTTTATAATTATTTCAAATATTTATAATCTTAAAACTTCACGTCAGAAGTTAATAAAAAAGCTGCTTATTTGTACAGCTGACGTTAACAAATTTTGTTGAAAAAACAAATCAGACAGGTGTGTCCGACCGAGGCCGAGCTGTTTATGTTTACTGAATTCAAATCACTTGAACTGAACTGGTATGAATTCGAAAACCACCAGGGACTTTTTATTCTTTTGTGTGGAAAACCTATCAAGCTAGTTTCAAAATGTCGACGGTTCTCTGCAGGTACAACATTTTGCCTGAAATAATGCACAGAGGCGCACCTGAGGTCCTCGCCCCTAGTAAAGCTAATGTGTAGAGTGAAAGTTTGAAAAGAAACCACAAAAAGCAGTCAATACCCAGAACATGCAGAACCACAGTTAACTTAGAGCGTAGCTAGCCAAAATGAATTTAAGTTAATAGATTTCTACATTTTTTTTGCGAAACAAATTAGGGATAATATTGAACATACAGGAAAATATAAGAAATTATTTCAGATATTATGATCAATAAGGTAACTGAAAAGTAGCTTCCGCAATGTAAACTTTCAAATTAAATGTTATATTGGATATGACACATTGTATTCTAAATAATCAACAGAACATTGCTTTACACCGCAAATGATCTGGGTTTTTATCTAGCGCAAGTGATTATTCCATAAAATAGAAATATATTGCCAAACGTATCCCTGTTGAAAAGACTGCCAAAAATACAACTGCGTCGTATCATATTTTATTTTCAACTGCGTCGTATCATTTCGTAAAAATCATTATTTTCTTAGAAAATAAACATCTCTTTTTAATAAAATTTTAGTAAATGATGCAAAATTATATTTCGAAGTGTATGGTGAACTCTGAAACAAATATATAATTGATTTGAAGGAAAAAACGATAGATAAAGCAATATGAACTGCGTCGTATCCACACATTTTCATAAAAATTCTGCCTCGCTTCGAGTTGCAAGTTCGCTATAACTTTTGTTTTACAAAATAGTTGTGCAAGCAACATATACCGAACGAAGCGGAAAATAGTGTAGCGTGTTAATACATATATCTTGTTTTCAGTCATTTCCAACAAAAAGAGTTATAAACAAAAACATACGTTTTTCGTTCCAAGATGGCGGCGTTTGTTTACATTTTGTAGGATACGACGCAGTTTTGATTCCCAGCCCTGTTATTGGATTGGTTGACATCACACTCTTTGTTTCGTATAGTTACACTATAGGCTAGCCCATAAACGTCCCTTGCCTCGGTAGTGCATACACATGTAGATAGTTCCCGATTTTTTCAATAGTTACCTCCCTTGCCAAATGTGGCAACCATTTTTTGGGAGGGGGGGGGGAGGGTATTGGTGTCCGTATTTCGTCTGATTAAATGTAGCTCATATAATTAACGCTAAGCTTAAGGATCTGACGGACACCAATAGGGGGTCATCAAATTTATTCAAACAATTTTCCCCCTGGCAAAAATCAACAAAATTTGTTTACGGCAATATTTTGATGCTTGGTCTAATGCCTATCTGTACAGGACGGTTTGGTTGCATGGCTAAAAATAGCTTTCCCGGGAAATTCGAATCACAATGAAGGCAAAATAAATACGGAGGCAAGCAGATCTGCATGCAAGAAATAACTTAAGTATATCTGAACTTTTGTCAGATTGACATTTCATTCAGTATTATTGACAGTATGAAAACAATCAATATAAATAGCTGATTAAGGTGATTTGTCAAATTCTTTTGTACATAAGAAGGAACATATTACTATAGCAGCAATATATTAAAGATTTTTATCAGGTTTCATGAAAATGATGTCATTATGAGAGATTTCAATCTTATATTCATCTTATATTAAAGATCCTGTGTGTTGTAATAAAGTTTGTTACCACACTTAAGTGAAATTTTATATAATTATGTATATAATTATGTTTCTAAAACAATTTTCAAACATCGAAGAATATGTAAAGTATGTCCTGCAAATATGTGTCCACATTATATGTGATCATTTGAATAAATGCATTTATTTCTTATTGACAAAAATGACTTAGACTTTATAGAAAATAAAGTTTTAATTACCTCTCTTTATTAACATGAAAATGTAATTTTTGAAATATCTTTACAAATAATGCTTGTTGGAACTTACAATATTGATAAATTTTCATTTGAGGATCATATCGAGGGTTCAAAGGTAAAAGGTAATAACTGCCATTTTCAAGATTTCGAGAAAAACGCAAAAAACATATTTTTTTAATACAACTTTATTTTCCGTAATATTGTTATAACAATTTTGATTCTCCCATATTTGTTGACTACATTAGATCATATTTTGTTTAGTTTACATTGCTTGGTGCTGATAAAACACTGTAATTATAGTTTGTTTTAAAGTTCTAAGATCAAAATAATATCATTTTACAGAAGTAAAAGGTAATAAATGTACTTAGATCCTGTCAAGACTACAAGTTTGAGCGGTAAAAGGTAATAACTGCACTTACGACCTTTTACTTCTGCAGGTTTAGCAATAAAAGTTAGAGATAAACTGTGGTAAAAGTTATAAGTGCAGTTATAGCCTTGTTCCTCTGAAAAAATTTAGATGTTGCAGTAATTGTTACTGTTGCAAATTTATCAATTATGTCCTTACTTTGAAGAACCTTACGTAATGTAATTAACACAATGCACATTAATACTCGTACACAAAATTAACACTTTTCATTCATAGAAATATGAAATATGTACCTGCTCAATATTTAGATTCTACAGAAATAAATTAATAACTAAAAAGTTTACGAAAATACGCACTCAAATCTAAGTTTACAAATTTCATTTATTTTGAATGTTCTCTGGTATATAATCGAACTGAAGTCAAACAGACCCCAGACATCAGCAATTAAGGATATTAGTGACCCATATCATAGTTAAGTAAATAAAGACTACTGTTTCATGTCACAAAATGTGAATGTTTGTCATTAATTATTCTATGACCTCCACTCATCTTCTTCACTCTCACTAACAGAAGGCACTGAAAGTTTGTCTTTTATAGATTTGCTGCATGGCATTGACTCATAGTATGATTCGCACTCCTTCGGAATTGTTCCAGAGGCAACAAGTGACATCAAATCAGCTTTTGCAGCAGATATTGGAAGCTTCTCTGTATAAGCCTTTCGTGGAGCCTTAAGAGACTTTTCTTTGCTTCTGTTCTTCTTCTGCATTAACCTAACTGCCTTGAACTCACTAACCACAAAACCATAGCTCACAACAATACTGTATTTTTGTCTTTATCTATCTCCAGTCATTACGTCATTTGATAATGTCACATGTTTAGTAGCAAAACAAAACTACATATAGATGTTATTTTATCAGGAAAAAAAGAAGAATGAAACCATTTAATTATTCTAAAAACATTATTAAAAGCAGGATAAAACAAATACATGGTTGATGTCGGGCTGGAGAAGGTTTATCCGGTTCACTGCAAAAGTGAATCTTGGCTTGCTAAAGCTCGCCAAGATACACTTTCTAGCTCACCGGATAAGCCTTATCCATCCCTAAATCAACCATGTATTTTATATATATTCAGCCAATTAACACGTTCACCATCAACATCGATTTTCATTGAGCCAAAGTTTTGTTCTTTGTACAACTTGTAATCTAGTATGTCATTGTATTTCATTAGAACGACAATATATGGTTGCTTCCGGCGTTGGTATGATATAACTGTTTCCCACTGCGATGGAACACGAACTATTGTAAGGCTTTTTGCATGCTTGATAGATGCATGTAAGGAATTTGCATTCCATTAATGAATGGCCAATTTCAAGAAATGTGTGGTTTTACCATTGATGTGAGGTATCTTGGACACAGTGAACTAAGCAACTTGCAACAAACTGATTGCAATTCTGTCCTCCACATGCATTACTATATAATGTCACTTCTTCAATACCAGATGTCTTACTCGCAACAGAGGTTACATACAAGTACACAAAAGTTCCTACTTTGCACGAGCCTGGTTTCCACATGTGTCTCATCCAACAGATAACAAGTCCCGTTACCATTTCCCAGTTCATAGAATGACAAATTGCAACAACACAGTTTTCTTTTGTAACGAAGATCACCAATTAAACTGAGTGGTGTCTTCAAAATAGCCTGGATATCAAATGCCGACACAGAAAACTTTGGATCTTTCTTTGTGCGTTTTTTTTTTGGCTGATTTTTCCATTCTAGCACTGTCTTTTTTTCTTTTTGGTCACTTGGTGTACTTGATATTTTGCTTTTGTTGCCTCATCTAGTCTATCTTCTATTCTCAAAGTGTCATACAGATTGCAGAGTGGACATTGATCTTTCTTAGGACGGAAGAAAAAAGTTATATTCTGTACTAAAAATGATTCTGTACACAGCCTCTGAAACACAGTTTCTATTTTGTCCTTTGCATTTTTATCCCCCGCCGATGGAATCGGGAGGGGGATATAGTTTTGGCGTTGTCCGTCCGTCCGTCCTTCCGTCCGTCCGTCCATCCGTCCGTCCGAATTTGTTTCCGGAGTAGTTCTCTGCAACTAATGGCTGGAATTCAACGAAACTTTATGGGAATGTTGATCAGCATGTGAAGTTGTGCACCTGGGTATTTTCGTCTGGATATTTTTAGTATTTTTAGAGTTATTGCCCTTGACTTAGAATTTCGTTTCCGGAGTAGTTCTCTGCAACTAATGGCTGGAATTCAACGAAACTTTATGGGAATGTTGATCAGCATGTGAAGTTGTGCACCTGGGTATTTTTCGTCTGGATATATTTAGTATTTTTAGAGCTATTGCCCTTGACTTAGTAAAATTTTGTAATTTTTAACTTGTGTCGCATGTAACTCAAAAAGTATTTGACCTAGAGTCATGAAACTTTACAGGAATGTTGATCAGTATGTGTAGTTGTGCACCTGGGTATTTTCGTCTGGATATTTTTAGTATTTTTTAGAGTTATTGCCTTGACTTAGTAAAATTTTGCAATTTTCAACTTGTGTCGCATGTAACTCAAAAAGTATTTGACCTAGAGTCATGATACTTTACAGGAATGTTGATCAGCATGTGTAGTTGTGCACCTGGGTATTTTGGTCTGGATTTATTTAGTATTTTTAGAGTTATTGCCCTTGACTTAGAAAATGTTTATACAGTGAGTATATTCGTTTTATATTTAAATCTTGCGTTAGATACTTCCTGTTGGGGTCTTCGTGTGTAGTGTGATTCAACAGTCGGAAAGCTTTCGTTGTGTTTCTTTACAAATGATCTGTGATATTCCGTGGTTTTATTTCCAGGCACAGCTTTCTTGTCATTTCCAACATATAACCCTGCCACTTTGTGCTTAACTGCGTTTACAACTGTTTTGGAACCGACATCGATAGTTTTTAGTAACAAAGTGACCCCTCGGAAGCATTAATCACAACAAAATTACATAAAAATTGCAGAGTCGGTTTGATTGAGTCTGTACATGAGAGATAATGAATAAGTGCAACATCCCTCACGCCCTCTTTTCTACCTGTGTGAAAAACGAATTCGAAATAGTTCTTTGTTTTGTTCTCTGTTTAGATACATTCTCTGGTTCTTTATTGGCAACATGGAAACAAATGAATTGCCTCTGACTTATGTAATCACCCATTGACCAGTATGTACTGAATATTTTCTGTCTTTCATATTCGGTTATATTCTCGCTGCATTTAATTCTAAAAGATAAATTTCGTGGGAAAAGAGATAACAGATAGTGCCTGTGAACTGTATGAATGCAGCATTCTGTCAGGGGAAAAAGGTGATAAAATCAGTTATAACCTTTTTCCACTACAGATTCTTCACAACATGTGGAACAACAAGTAAACAACAGGTAATAAGTACACTTAGAACCTTTTACCCCTAAATAATTTGTAGAAAAGAAGTTATTACAAAATACTTTTTAATTTTTTGCCCTTATAAGGATTGAATATTTATATAATATTTTCGTCAGACATGAAGGACAATAAGTACATTATAAAAAACATAAAAAGTCAATTTCGGCAAAAGTGGCAGTTATAACCTTTTACCTTTGAACCCTCGATATTTATGATATAAAACCATATAAAATTAGTTACAGGATCTTTATTAAGCATATGATGTGTTGGAAACGACCCTCAAAATGGCGGCCAGGGGAGGCAATAATTGCTATAGCAAATGTGAAAAGCATCTATTGATTATCTAATTAACTTCTAGCAAAATATTCTTACCCAAACGAGTAGACAAGGCAAGAACCTCGAACTTTTTGAAAATAGTCTAAACAGATGTTCTTGCCAAATGTATCAAGAGATCCAGCTCTGCTTATATTACAACATCTAATTTGTTGTCTTGTTACATATCTGAAATATTTTTATTACAGGTAAAACATACGCGTGACAAATTTATATAAATAGCACATACGTTTGTGGGTAACAACAGTACATCATCCTAAGGAAAATAGTGTTACCCGAGGGGCATCAACGAGGGTAACAGAATTTCTATGAGGGGCATTATTTGTGCTGTTACTTTAAAACTTGTGTTATTTATTTTATTACCCGAACAAATACTTCATTGGAACACTGTGTCTATGGGGTTTCATTTTCCAGACTTTTGCTGTGAAAAAAGTACTGATACCTTTGTAACAATACATTACATAAATACATAATTATTAGTTACAAAGTAATCAAATAGTGAGTGATAATAATATGAAGTGTGGGCAGACTGCACAACTGGTATGCAGGCCGATTACATTTATTAAAACATTGTCCCCGGTGAATGTGATTTATAAATTGTTCTTTTGACTACTTATTGGACCAATGAGATTGCAGCTTTATTTAGATCATATAACAATATATGTTACAGAAGTGTATGCATTAATTTACTTGTAAAAGCAGTGGATATTTACAGCTATGAAAGTGTTATGAAAGTTTAGAGAACCTTGAAAAAACATCATACAACGTGTCTGTATCCATTTCGTCAATAATTGTATCGTCCGGTAATAAGAAATGTACACTTCCGTTGCAAAATCTTCTCCTTTCACTTAATTCTTTCACTTTGATTGTCTGTCAGAAAATATAATTATTGTAAATGTAGTACGTGTATTTATATACAAAGAGGATTTTCAAGTTTTTTATCAATACAGAATTTATTTTCATCGAGTGCCACAAGAAGAAAATATATCCTGTATTTATAGAAAAAAAACTTGAATTTTCTGTTTATTATTCAGTACGTTTTTGTTTTGACATTACAATTTGAAAGAATTTCCCTAAACATTTATGTACTGGCAGGATTTAGAAGAAAGTAGTCCTGCAAGACACCAGTGAAAATACGGAAAATATGTTTCACTGCAGTGAAAAAAAAATTACGGTGAAATACGGTAAATGAAAATATGCATTTTATTTCATAAAGATTTCTCTATCATGCATCTATAAGTATATAATACATTTATTTATTTATTTATTTACTTCGTTATTTATTTATTTATTTATTTTTCATTTATTTATTTTTCATTTATTTATTTATTTATTTATTTATTTATTTATTTATTTATTTATATATTTATTTATTTATTTATTTATTTATTAAACTTAAAGTCCGAACGACAAATATGTAAGATGTTATGTGTGACGATACAAATTCCAATTTCTTTGATGCTACTTAAATCCTAAATGTTTTCAAATCAAATCAATTCACATCACGTATATTTGTTTAAGTGATGTTCGTATTATCTACATGTATATATACATTGCTGTTTCAAAATTAGGAATTTTAATATATGTTTCAATAATAATAATAATAATGATAATAATAATAATAATAATTATTATTATTATAATAATTATAATTTTAATAATATTAAAATAATAATAATAGTAATAATAATAATAATTATATTATTAATAATAATAATGATAATAATAATAATAATTATTATTAATATTATTATTATTTTTATTATTATTATTATCATTATATTATTATTATTATACTGCTACTTCTACTACTACTTATAATGATGATAATAATGATAATAAGAATAATATAATGATACTGCTACTGCTACTACTACTACTACAACTGATAATGATAATAATAATGATAAGAACAAGAGCTGTCACTGAAAAGTGACTTATGCCCCCGAAAGGGAGGTATGACATAAAATTAGATATGTAATTGAACATGAGCATGAACAAAATGAAAACCAGAATGATTTAATATTTTCGATTTTCAAATAGCTTGGTAACATATAACAATCCTATGAAGTTTCATTGAAATCCCCGAGCGGTTTTGGAGATGTTGCGTGGATAAGCTTATTTTACTCAAAAGTAGACCATTAGGGGGCCATAACTGTGCAAAAAAATCAGGCAGAAAACCAAGATACTACAACTAGGCATAGTGACAAGAAATCCTGTAAAGTTTCACTGAAATCCCCCATCGCTTTTGGTGACGAAGCACGGAAAGCACGGAAAGCTTATTTCATTCAAAAATAGACCATTTAGGGGCCATAATTGTGCCAATAAAATCAAGCAGAATAACAAGATAGTATGAACAACTAGGCATGGTGACAAACAATCCTGTGAAGTTTAACTGAATTCCCAAGCGGTTTTGGAAATGTATCGTGATCAAGTCTATTTTACCCTAAAATTGACCATTAAGGTCCCATCACTGTGCAAAAAAGGGAAAATCATGATACTATGCACAACTAAGCATGGTGACAAATAATCCTGTGAAGTTTCACTGAAATGCCCCAGCGGTTTTGGAGATGAAGTGCGGACAAAATTATCGGACGGACGAAAGGACGGACGGACACTGCGATTACTATATGACGCCTTTAAGGGGGGGGGGGCATAAAATGAAATAAAAACAGGGCACATTGTTGCAAAATACACCCATCACAAAAGCTTATGACAGAGATGTGGGCATTACAGAGAAAGGAAATATGCTCTGGGCAATATCCCGACAATATCTGGATATTTCATTATCTCTAGTAACCTTGACCTTGCAAATATTAACCTAAATTACAACTGTCACACTGGAAGAAATGATAGTTATCATTTGTGTTACAATCAATCAATAAATGATCACTAAATGATCCCTGAACACATGTTCTGTTTCATCTTAATGTTGAACTCTCTATGTGTCCTTGACCTTGTCCGCAGGGAACTGGATTGTGCGCGCAATATTTAGCCTCAAAATGGTGAACCTTGTGCAAAGTTACATTATATCACCAGATGAATGTAGAAGTTTTGCTCCGAACAATCTTTCTCAATAACATCTAAGTGTAACCTTAGCCTTTAACATAGAGACCTGGTTCGTGTAGGTGACACTGCTTCTCCTAGTGGTGAACATTTCTATGAAGTTTCATTAGAGACCCACCATGCATGTACAAGATATGCTCTGGACAAAATCTCTATATTTTATTATCTTTATTGACCTTAACCTTGCATATATTAATCTAAATTAAATGTATCACACCCGTATAATGACCATTTGTGTTTCAGTCCCTCAAAAAATGATGATATTTGGTGACCTTGTGCCAAGATATATGGCCTGTAGAAGTTTTGCTCCGGACAAGCGTTTTCTGTACGAAATCTGCTTTGGTCATAGTATTTTTTTACAATAGGTTTTGCTCTTAAAGCCAGTTTGCTTTGGTTGATTATGGTCATATAAATACATAATTAGGTAAAGAATTAGACGCTTGTTTTTGGTTGAGTCCATTATGTTTTGTTTAGGGGTGAAATGTGAAACTTAAATTTACAATTTATATGACATTTAATGTTTCCGATAATTTTAATAATTGTTATAATTCTGGAGTTGTTTGAACATATTTTTTTAATTAAGTTGTGATAAAAACGATTAAAGGCATAATTGTAATGGAAAAAAAAACTTAGTCCACAACTTTGTTGATTTGATCACGTGACAATGTAAGCCAATGAAAAAAAAAACATCAACAAACAGGCAGCCATTAACGAAGAGAAAGGGTTTTTTCAGAGCGTACAAATTCGATAATTTAAAAATATACCAACAAGTTTAAACTGTAAGTAATGATTTTTTATGCTTTATTTATATTGCAGATAACTATTTATTTAATGATCTGCTTGATTGTACATTGGCAGTTCGTGTTAGCTAAAATTTAGAATGACTAGGTGACCTAATTTACAAACTGCGGGGGAAAATGGTTGGTTTGTTATTGTTTCTATTTATCTGTGTTTGTTCTATTTGCTTCTGTTTCATTATGTTGTCTGCACTGAAGGTTGTTTATTTTTGATAAAGTGATTTAAAGTAGTAAATAGTATGTGCATTTAAGCCTTCGAAGCACTTTCTCTCGGTAAAGGGTCAACTCGACCCTATACCAACTCGGCTCGGGTCAACTCGGCACAGGCCAACTCGGTCCTCTATTAAAAAGTTATATTAGGATAAAGATTGTTTAGTTAATAAAAAATCAAGGAGTAAGTTATTATAAAATATTCAGAAATACGATCAATTACAAACAGAAATTGAAAATGTTGGCAGTGTACTGATACGTATTGTTGAAGAGATATAAAAACAGTACAATACATGTATATGTTAAATATTGATCCATAAATAAAGTTTTTGGATTGAATTTTTCAATAAATGTTATTGTATTTAACAACTGATTGTTCTTTAATACGACCAATGCTGTTTTTACGATATTTTTTACTGAAAACATCTGAAGTAGACAAAACATGCATATAAATTGTAAATTCTTTCTTTCTCTACAAAATCACATACAAATTGGTATTTTCATCAGTAAAACTTTTCATTATCCTTGAGTAGAGGTATATAAACTTGAAAATGTTAATCAATGAAAGTTATGATGAAAACATATAAAAAGTAGTAAAAGTAATCATTACCAGAAACATATAATTATGGGCCAAGTTGACCCGTAACGAGTTGGAAAAGGGCCGAGCTGACTCGGGGGCCGAGTACGTTTTAGGGCCGAGCTGACCCTGATTCCTTTCTCTCGGGCTTAATGTTCGTTGACTTATTCTGGTAAAACGGTGATTTTTAGTCGATTTAGTAATTTTCTTTACTCTACTGACATGTATGACGATCATGGTAAGGTGCCTAAATGTTGGCATGGTCATTGTAAATATTTCAGGACTTTTCACCGGTGATTTTCCTTCTTATATGACAGATTCCAAGAAAAGGCCTCTTCCCAAAGGAAATTTTCTTTGAACGGATGAAAAAACTAGGTCACAGGAGCTAAAAATAGAGAAACCTTGTTAACACTCTAGTGGTTAATTTTTGTCTCAAGTGTCATCAAACTTGGTCAGGATGCTTGTCTAGGTTATACACCAATAAACATTTTCAATATGATCTAGGTAAATAACCGAGGTATATCGAGTAAAAAATACGAGTTGCTTCCCTTATCTTTGAGTAAAATCGATACCGCTTATGCTAAAACAATACAAAATAAGCCGTTTTTAAACCGATAGTTTCTTGTGATTCAATGTCTGATTTTGAAATGTATTACACCAAGCTTTGGATCTTAGCTTGATCACAGTATAAAGTTCAACACATCTTTTGACTCCAAAGTATTAAAATTAACTCTTACATGTTAACCTAGCATATGTCAACCATTTAACATACGATTTATACAGTGAGATACGCAACACGTTATCTTTACTCGAAAAACTACTCATAAGAATAGCCTGTCGTCTGCTAGTTCTTAAAGTGTTTATCGGTGTATTGCTCGAATGAGTATGAACATGGGTCATCTCAGATGAAAATCTTGGTCACAGGAGCTTAAAATAGAAAAATCTTGTTAACACTCTAGTGGTCACATTTTTGACTCATTGACTCATTTGTCATCAAACTTGGTCAGAATGCTTTTCTAGGTAATTGCTCGAATTAGTTCGAACATGGGTCATCTCGAATGAAAAACTAGGTCACAGGAGCTAAAAATAGACAAATCTTGTAAACACTCTAGTGGCTACTGTTTTGATCAAACCCTCCAAATATCCTGTAAATTGGTCTGAAAGTTTGATTTGATGGTTTCTAGGTAAAGTTCGAATATGGGTCACCTGGGGTCAATAAC